AAAAAAACGTGCCAATATGTGGAAATAGGCAAGATTGTGGGTAACAATAGAACAAAAGTAAACAGAACTCAACACAACAACAAAGAAAGAAAATGCAGAAACATAAAGACAGACTCTAGCTTTGAGAGGTTAAATTCTCTCCAGGATATCATTGATCAAAATAAGCATAGCATTCTTTGGTCTCAAAGGTCTCTCAATATCCACTCGAACTCCTTCCTCTGCCAGAACACCATGTCACAACCATCATGTGTCAGTGTTCATTATTCCCAGATATTTCCTTTTTCCCTTATTTGAAGTAGACTAGTGTCTCATTTGCTTTGGTTGAATTAGGCCCAACCCTTTCTCCCTCTTTCTTTCCATATAATCACACTTAATCTGTTGTTTGGTAAAACATGAAAATAGAACTCACCCCATAAACAGTTCAGATTCCCAGGATCTTTCTCTCTAGCATGCTAGAATTTGATAGGGCAACACAATAGGGAAGCAGGAAAGCGAGTAGTGAAAAGGATTTAGTTGCCAAGAAGGACAATGTGCTTTAAAGAGTTAATAGAAGCATAATTGCCAAATTTGGAACTTAAGATGTCAAACAACAGAGAAAAGATCAAATACTCTTTTCCATCGCTGCTTTAGTGTTTTGACAATTTGATAAAACTTTCACGACTTACCATAACAAGAAAACAAAGTGAAAAAAGCAAGATGAGCACGGGTGAGAAAGCTGGTTCCAACGTTTATAAAGGAAAACAGTAACATGGAGCATGGAAATTGAAATAGCTGCCATAAATTATCATCATTTTCCTGATAATTTAAATTAAAAAAAAAAAAAAAAAAGTATGCTGAGCTAGTGCTTTGGGTCTTGTGGTTAGATTTGGTAAGGAAATTTTACAAAAACAAACATTGGGTCTTTTCCTAACAGCTTGAGCTTATAAGGTTTAGTGACAATATATAAGACTGCATAACAAAGGTAACCACACCTTGCCAAATCAATGTTCCTATAACTAGAATTTTGCATTGACTCTTGCTATAAAGGAAATAGGAACTAAATAATATGAAGAGATTTAGAAGAAAGAAAGAGAGGCACAAAATCAGAAAAATGGATCTTGGCATCTCGCAAGAAGCAAAGCTGTTTGAACCTGATGAGCATATATTGTATCATACACAAGAGTCCAGAAAAATCCAGAGGCATAAAGTGGAAGCACAATAGCTGGATTCAGGCTTCCCATAACTGCAGCCCATCCCAATAGAGCCCCCCAGTTAAAGGTCAACCCAAGAAAGGCTTGAGGCTGTGAAATCACGAGATAAAAGGCTCTGTGAGATCATTCATCAAAGATTGGATTATGATCTATCAATGAAAACTAGAAATAAGGAAACCGTGTTACCCAAAATGTAAACCTCTTCATGAGAGGATAGGAGAAGACAAGCAACAAAGATGAAGCTCCCAAGACACGACTGCCAAAAGAACACAAGCCACAATTATTTAAAATTTAACTAAAAATCATATGTCAGTCAATATTAATTAAAATTATGTACAAAATATACAATTAGAAAGAAAAATTTATTGAAGATGCATCTTACTAGCAAATCAGGTGTCGGAAAATCATTTTAAGTTTTCCAGAATCAATAAAGACAGATTGACAAACCTCTTCCTAAATATAAATGGTGAAATTATCAAGACCATTATTCAGACAATCATCATCTTCATTAGATTACATTAGATAGTTCATTTGCTAACTCAGCCTCTATCAACCTAACATTGTATTCTGTTATAAAACTAAGAATCAAAATTTACTCCGATTTCATGAATAATATAAGCAGTGCTAATTGTATACTTTGGCGAAGAGTAACAGTCCTAATAGAATACAGTCCAGAAGAACTTGCTGCAAGATAAAGAGGCCACTAGGCAAAGAAATCTGTCATGGATAGCAGAAGAAAGTCCACGGTTACAACACAAGAACTTAGAAATTAAAGTAATATTCATGTTCAACAATGCTGAAGTACGGGGATATCCCAAAACTGGATGCTAGTCCACCTGGATTTTTTTTTTTCCTATTGGAGCTCATAAAGAAATTTTAGATCTTGGGGCATTTTTGATGGATTTGTGTTGTATATTGCCTTTCCGTAGAGGGATAAAACTTCATTTTGGCCTAAGGTGTAGAGGGGGTTGATGGACCCACAACTTTTGAGCTAGAGAATCTCAAGGCCTATAAGAAGGGAATGAAGACAAATTATTGCACATAGGGCTTACAGTGCTGCATTTTCAGTGACAAGGGGTCCAGATGGAAGAAAGAAAAAGTGTTAGGGGTTGTGCATGTCACAAGGGGCATGAGTTGGGAGAGCTAGGGGAGAGGAGGGGGGATTGTGGTTGGAGGGGTCTCTATAGGGGTTTGAGAGCTGAGAGTAGTCAAGAAAGTATTAGGTTTAGTGGCAAGGCAAGAATCTGGTCTCTTGAATAGCAGGCTGAGGGAGGAGCTGTGCCTCTTCTTCATTTTCTTTCTTTTACATGCTGTCTTCAAGGTCTACCATTCACTTTTCCTAGCATGTTTCCTATCGTAAGCTTATGATCAAGTGCCAAGAGATAAGCTTTGGAAAGCTCTAGAAAAGAAGAGGGTCTGTGTTGCTTATATCAGAGCTATTAAGCATATGTATGAGGGAGCATCAACTAGGGTGAGAAACCTAGAGGTGAGACAAAGAACTTCCCTATAGGAATTGGTTTGCATCAAGGATCATTCTCAAGTTCTTATTTGTTTGACATGGTTTTAAACATTCAAACTAATCCCATTCAAGAGGAAATCTCAAAGTGCATGCTCTCTGTAGATGACAGAGTCTTGATTGCAGAGGTGAGAGAAGCAATTAATGCTAAATTGGAGTTATGGAGGCGAATTTTGGAATTGAAAGGTTTTCGCTTAAGTAAAAGAAGATATAATACATGTATTGCAAATTTAATAAAAGGCAAGATAGAAATGAGTGGAGATGAAGATTGAAGAGCAAGCCATACCACAAGTCAAAAAGTTTAAGTATTGGAATTGATTCTACAAAATGGCAGTAAAGTTGATGAAAATGTTATACATAGGATGCAATTAAGGTCAATAAAATAAAGGAAGCATCAGTTCTTCTTTGTGATCACAAGGTTCCTACTAAGCTCAAAGGGAAGTTTCATCATACCACTGTAAGACTAGTTATGTTATACAGCATTGTTGGGCATTGAAAGGCAAACATGAGCATAAAATGGGGATAACATATACGAGAATGTTGAAATTCATGCATGGTCGTAAAAGAAAGGATAATATTTGTGATGATTGTATAAGAGGACAAGTTGGAATGCCAATTATTAAGGAGAAAATGGTAGAAAATCATTTAAGAGGATTTGATCATGAGTAGAGAAGATCTTAAGACGCACCAGGAAGGAGAAGGAGAGGAGTAAATAGTGTTTATCTCTTGAGATGTGGGAATATTTGGTATTTATTGCAAATATTGTATAGTCTTTATTAAGTTTTATTAAACACTATTAGCATTTATTTCCTCTTGTGTATATATGTAGCCAGCTTGTACTCAGTATTGAATCAATGAGAATATTATTTTCTCTCAAATTCCATGGAGAGATAAATGGAGACCAAAAAGGAAACTTAAGGAAGTTATCAATTGGATCTCTTGGTTAATAGTTTATCAAAAGAGTTGGTTTCAAATAGAGCATAATGGCATCATATGATCCATATAACAACACCATTTAGTAGGATAAGGATACTACTGTGGTGTTGTTTCATATTGTGAACTTAGAGTATCTTCTATAAAAGCCTCATTCCCTTTATTTGAGAGCCTATTTATTAGTTAACACTGTTTAGAGGAGTTTCATTATGGGTTCTGTGATCCATTCAATATGAATAAGAGTGGTTTTCCCATGTGGTGTTGGTCCAAAAAATATGAATAACAATGATACTTTCTGCCATTCACAGGGATCTTAATAATTTGAAACAACATAAGAGGACAAATTACATAGATAAGTTTTAGGTTTCCAGAAAAAGTGATGGGTCGGAAAGGGATGCTACTTAGCAATATATGTGATATGTAGAACATTAAACGGTTTTACAATTTTCAATCAGGGTATTCCTGTCCTGAAGCTTACTCAAGTCAATTTTTATACTTTTGGATCTTCACTTTAAGTCAGTAGAAGTTCAAACGATGCAAAAGAACTTTAAAATAATTTTTTTAAAAAGTTAAGAAGAAAATTTGTCCAAAAGATGCGGTGGACTTAACTGAAAGAGTCAAGAGTGCTTGTGATGTGGGAAGAGCAGGGGATGCTCTACTAAGTCTGGGGCAAGTTTAAGTGTTTTGCTATTTCCGGTGATGGCACCCCTGGAAACCACTCAAGTCAGTTTCTATATTTTTAAATCTTGCCTGAACGAAACAGAGAGTAAAATTTCATAGACATCATTTTTTCAGATAAATAAGAACAAAGGCTGTAAAAAAGACTCGAAAAACAAATTTAAAACAACTTGTTTCCTATAAACGCAGAGGGCCTCAACAGTTCAACCAAATGATGCAAGCAGAATACAGGAACAGAGTTGCTGAAAACACAGAAAGGATTCTACAGAAGAATGTTTTATAGAGTGACAAGAATGGATAGCATTAGTTTCCCAATTTAGGACATGCAATCCAGATCATGGTTCCTGTGTGATGCAGTCTTCCTGCCAATAGTCCGATTGTAACAAAATTAAGGGCCTGGCACCCTGATATAACAAGGATGGGCCCTGGCCCTAAGCAGAGAATATGCTACTCATAATTAGCACCAACCTATAATTATTTAGTTGTAGAAGAATCCCAAGACCCAAAAGCAATTGAAAACCAAGAAAACAGAGTCCTTGAAATGGTGTCAAAAGACCACTTGCAACTGGTCTGACCTTTGTACGCTCTACCTGCATTATATGTTTACATAACCATTAATTCAGAACTTCAAAGGAAAATCATCAATTGAATAACGACATGAAAAATGAAGTAGGCAACAACAATCCCCAGCATCATACTAAGGTTTGGGAGGCAATCAGTAACTGGCAAATACAAATTCTTAATCCATCATGTTCTCTCATTTACTTGCATCATTTTAGTTGCTTATGCGTGAGCATGGTAATATATGATGATTAAGCCACAGAATGCTCAAGAGCCGCAACGGAATGCTATTTTTGTATTTTGAAGGAGTTGGGTCACAGAATACTTCTCTCTAGCTGTTATGACCCGAGTGAAATGATTGCAAGTATAAGATTGTAAATGAGTGTGGCCAAATTTAAATCCAAAGAGTGATTGTAGATGGTTTGCAAATGGAATAATTTTGTTAGTTACTGAAATGTTTATCAAACCCATCTAAGGGCTAACATTTTTACAGGATAATTCTGAAAAAGACGAGCAGGTGCATGCTTAGATAAATTGGTATACTTCAGGTGTAATAATTTAAAGCACAAGATCACTACCTCCCACTAGAAGTAAAACCAAGGATGAAAATTCAACAGTGAAAGCAACTAAACTACCTTTGTATCAATATCCCGATCAAGAAGATCATTAATAGTACAACCAGCACCCCTTAAAAGCAATGCACCACATCCAAACAGTGCCAACATTTTAAAATCAGGAAGATGCCCTGGAGTTGCTGCCAAGGTAATTGACCTGCAACATAGGGCATATAAAATCAGAAAAAACTTGTAGAAATAATGAGGTAAGAAAAAGGAACTTCAAATAGGAAAGTAAACAAGGTAATAATTACCAAAGAAAATTCTGTAAATAAATACATGGTTAAAACTTACAAAAAAAAAAAAAATCATCAACTTAGCAAATTATACCTGGAGTATTTTGTCAAATCATATGATATATCTATCAAGTTATTTTTCAGTTGCAACTGAATTTACAGTTTGATAAGATTTACAACTCATAAATAAGCATTCAAGTTTGCAAGTAGGTAACAATGCCCTATACACAAACGTGTGCAACTCTGCGTGCATGTATTAACTTAGTTGTCAAGTTGGCCATCAAAACTCTTTGAGAAGAATCCCCATGCTTCCTCAACAACAAAGAATCCCTTTGTGAAGGAAAAAGGCAAAAAAAAAAAAAATCAAAATAAATATTCTTACCACATACAAGGCCATAAAAGCAACCATGTTCCAATTGGCTTGTCAAGCCGAGCAAGTCGAGCATAGGGCTGAACCCGCCTCGGAAGGTATAAATCAATCCAAGAGAGGTTGGCTGCTGGAAATCTCACGTCACTTTCATTACCACTTAAACTCTTGCGTTCCTTAGAATCCCCTCCAACACCAGAAGACGTAGAAATGTGTGCAACAGAATGGAAATCTGGGTGAAATCTAATACTTTTACAGAATTCAAAATGAAAAATCTGAGGGAGGGATTGCCTGAATGGAAGATTTGAAAGGCAAGGATTCAGAGAAGGAATTAGATAAACAGATGATTGAATGGGGACTGAAGGATCAAATATAGAGCGGCACAGAGACACTGAAGGGCCAGAAGAAGGGAGACAAGATTTAATAGATCTACGTGAAAAACGAGAGACCAAAACAGAAGCCATTATTCGTTTGCAAGCAACAATTTGGATTTGCCTTGCTGCTACTAGCTCCAGAGCAAACTATCTCAAGGAGCCCATATCAAAGGGAATCATTCTGATAAATCAACCGCAATGGGTGCAAAAGTCCACATATGTCAACCCCTCTAGTAACTCTCTTCTGATGAGGAGCCTTCCATGAGAACACTGTAAATTTAAAAATTTGGTCACCATATAAATTGTGAATGATATTTTCAAGCAGAAATCTTGAAAATATGGAACATACAATTTAGCAATCCACTACCAGAATTAATTTTCTCATTTTTTTAATATTAAGTCATTTAATTGACATTCCTCAATAACCTTAGAAAACCAATCCCTTTGCAGCACTCAATGAAAGTCCATAGAAGGATTAATGAGATAGTGGATTATGATAGCCTAAAATTTAGGATAAAAAGAGCAAAGCTTCTTCGGATCATCATGGTCTGCACCAAGCAACTGCACACAAAATATCACGTAATGTCTTTCCAAATCTACATTATCCTTTTTCACACGTCAGTAATCTAACTAGTAACCACCACTCGACACTGTTACTTCATTTTGTGTGATAAAATGATCTTAAAAATCTCTCATTCCCGTCTCAACTCAATCCACAAAACACAGCTGCAAGAACCTGCTTTCATCACAAAATCTCTAACCCGTATGATAAAATTTACACCAAGAAGAAGAATTTTCTAGCTCAGAGCTGAACCCTCATCGCTTACACGATTTCAATTTCAACAAGGAAACTTGTTGATGCTAACCATTAATAAGCTTGCTTCCGCCCGCTCATACATATTTCATCATTACATGAGCAAATTCTGCGTACCATGCCAAGCAAATAATCTCAGCTGGGCATGAAGAGGCGGTGAAGACAACCCCTACAACAGGCAATTTACAGCCCAGGTTTAAAATGGGGGGAAAAATCATGGGGAGGTACCAATCGAGCTAAAAGCATATTCGACTCGTCAGCGACGCCGCCGAAGAGAATGTTATAGCTCGTCAAAAATGGGCTGATGAGGTCGTGACATGAGAGAACAAGAACACGAGAAGCTCTAGGCTTCGCTCATTAAGCTGGAGTCCAAGAATCCATACGACTGCTAGAGTGTCAGAAGTGAGGATGAGGACGTAAGTGTTGACTCTCAATACTTCGAGGAAAAAGTTATCTTAAAACAGCCACGTCATTTAAGCTGAAAATTTTTTTAAGAAAAAAATTTTGCTGAAGTTTTAATTTTGGAAAAAAGACAGCATTGATTATATTTTACAACCTTAAAATTAATGGTAAAAAAACCTTAAAATTATAAATTAAAAAAAAACCCACGATAAGTTGACATTAAAACTTTTTTCATCATGTTTTTTCCATATTCATTTTTTATATTCTAGATATATATATTTTTTCATTTTTAACATTCAATTTTTTAGTAATATGTTTCAATACTTTTTTTTTTAAAATTTTACTGCCAAAAAGTACTGGAGAATGACAATAAAATTCAAAAGGATGATTTAACAACAGATAAATCTGTAACAAAATTCTTTATAAAAGAAACTATAAATATTAGTTTAAACAATTATAAATAAAAAATTAAATTACAAATAAATTATTATATTTAAAATTTAAACATCATATTTGTTAATTGAAACGGAAAAATAAATATAACTCCAATTATTTTGAAAATAATAAGATTTATGGCTCAAGAAGAGAGGTTGATTTAGAACTTTTAAATTTATAAATGTTTGAATTAACATCTAAAACTAATCTTTTAAAGAAATTATTGGGACCTAATTATTTTTTTTTTTTTTCTAGATTTAACTGTCATCCTGCTGGAAAGTATTAATTATAAGTATTTTTTAATATTAAAAATATAGAAAATAACTATTAAAAATATTTAAGATGATTGATAAAATTAATAAAATTATATAATAAAAATGTTAAATATAAGTAATAAAAATATATAAGTGAGCACCTAAAATTTTGAACTGAGAGAATGACAAAATTTTTGAAAATTTTAAAATTTTAAGATTTTTAATTATGAATATTAATATATTTTAAGGGTTATTAAATGTCATCCTCCCTTTCAATGTTTTTTAAATTTTAATAACGGGAAAAGACAGCTTCACCTCCTTCGATCTTCCACATGCCCTGGAAGACTCGAATGCAGAGGAGAACACGACGAAGACCGAAGAGGTTGAAAGATGCTGTTGACGACAGAAAATTCGACGAGGCAATATGTTCATGAATAAATAAATAATCACATGGCTATTTTATGTTAAAAAAGTCAGGGTAATCTAAGTTAAGCCAAGGATGAAAATTCACAAGCCAGAGATTAACGAGAAATGTTGGAATAAAATACACAAATCGACGAACCTAGCAGCCGAAACGGACGAACTCCTTGTGCGAAACTCCGACGCGATTTCTGGTTCACCATGCCATCGGAGAGAAGGGCTTCGACTAGGAAGAAAACCCCAACCCTTAACTTTCTTTCTTCAAACCAAACCGGCCCTTGAACATATAAGGCCTCACCGCACCTTCCCCTCCAGTTCTATGTACATCATTTTTTCTAATTTTATTAATATTAATATAAAAAAGTATGAAAAATAAAAGTATATAAGATTTAAAATATATCTCTATATAATATATTAAAAAATATTTTTTAAATATTACACATTGCAGATTAGGTAAATTACAAAAGATGTAGGTGATGGAGAAGCAAGGGCAAGAAGGCAACAGTTCGACCAGCGGTGGAGAAGTAGAGGAAGGCAATGGTGACGAAACAGTGACAGCGAAGATTACGACGTCTGGCACTGGCTGATGGACGCCGGCAGGTGAGGCGGCCTCCCGAACGACAAATCAAGGGATTTGGGTTTTCATGACAGTGGGCACTTTTGGATTATCAAAATATAGCATATGGGCATATTAGTCACAAAATCACAATAATATATCCCTTCCTTTCAAGTTTGCGTCTGCATTTGGTGCTCATTAAGGTCAGAGCAATCTGAACTTTTATTTCAGCCTTATTTAATCCTTATCATTCATTTAAATTAATTTTTAAATATTTTTAATATTATATTTATTAAAATAAAAATATAAAAAAATTAATGTTAAATATGGACTATTTAAAATGCATTTAAATAATTAATTCACAAAATTTATAAATTTTTTAATATGAAATTAGATCGTTTAAATTATATATAAACTGTACAGAGTCTATTTATATAGTCAAATTATAAGATTATAATTTTTTAATATTAAATTAAATTGTTAGATTAAATATATATTGGCCAGATTGATAATGAATGAATATATTAAAAATTTAAATTTTTTATATTTTTTATATTCATAAATATAATATTAAAAATATTTAAAAAAATTAATTTAAATAAATGATAGAGATTAAATAAGATTGAAATAGAGGGTTAGAATTACTTCTAATCTCAATGAGCACCGAACGCAATTTCTTCAATTTTCCTCAATTTGAATTGGAGCTGAAGGCTTGGAGGAATTTTCCTTCCCTCCCCTTTAATTGTCCAAGTCAGGTTTTCTTTGTTCAAACCAAATGGGTGTTTGACATAGTTTTCACAAGAAATTTGTACGTTAATATAATATATCATGTCATTTGTATATTATTTAATAAAAATATATCACATCAAATTTTTTTTTCATTTATGTCATTTTAAATTGTTTTAATTTCTCATATTTTCTTTCTCCTCTTGATAATGGTAAGAAATTAAATAAATATTTTATCTTAAAAAAAGTCATTAAACATAATGACATTTAAAATTTTATTTGATTAAATTGATGAATATGAATAAGGTAATGCTCCTGGCCTATGCAATTACTTTTCATTTATATGGCCAAATATTGTTAAGTTCCGGATCTAATGAAATTTTCTATTTTTTTTCAGAAGGAATATCAATTCAAATTTCCAAATCTAGTCTCCAAATGTTTAATAAAATAATTTTAATTGTAAATCTTAAATAGCTGTGAATTTGTTACACTGACATTTTAATTTTTCATATATTAGCTGTTAATGAAATTGTAAGCTGGAAAAAAAATCTTCATTTTTTAATGCAAATGATTGGTAAATGTTAAAAAGTTGTAAAATTTAATAATGTATTTATCACCTGAACACTTTTTGAGAAGTAAAAGAATAAGATTTTTTTTTCAAATAATTGTTGAATATTATAAAATATTCATGAATATTAAAAAACCTTATAAATTAGTAATATTAATTATTATTTAAATCTATCTATAACATATAATTTAAATAATAATATTATTTAAAATTATTTTTTAATTGTGATTAAAGCAGTCTTATTTTATAATGTTTTGAGATTTTTGCCTATAAAAGACAGTGCTTATTGTAGGTTGTAAATCGGCCCTTAAGCTTTCGGGCTTTCTCTTTTTTTAATCATATATATGTGTTGTTGTTTGAGTTTATTCTGTGAATTTTTATTATTCTATGTTCTTGTTCATTTTATAAAAGATAGTGCTTGTGGTAGGTTGTAAACCAGCCTTTGTGCTTTTAAGCTCTTTCTCATTTTCTATCATATTGCTTCATTTATGCTATTGCTTAAGTTTATTCTATGAATTTTCATTGTTTTGTGTTCCTGTACATTTTATAGGAAAAGTTTGTTTACTCCCGAGGGAGTGTTGTATGAACAACCTAATTTGGAAGAATACTCCCCTCGAACTATAATATAAGTCATAATTAATTAATTCATAATTTATAAACAATACTAGTTAAAACCTTAAGTTCTTAAAAATATATATATCTTTTCATTTATATCATCATTCAATATTCCACATAAGAATCTTGATAATAGTAATTAAAATTCTATTATTATTTTTAAGTAATAAATGAAATAGAAGTACAATTGTAAAAAGAACATATATAAAAGTTTTTTAATGCTTTATATTTTGGATTGTGTAGGTTTTTAGAATATGTTTTATATTATAATTTGGAGGAAGTAGCTTTTAAGGACAGTGTCTTTAGGTACAATTCAAATTATGATTTTATTTGTGCCAACAACAACTCCACCACCTTTTTAAAAAGAAAAAAAAACATAGATGTGCTGTGTGTCAAAACGCACCAAAGTAAAAGAATGTCTCTACTCTCTAGAGTCAAAAAAGTGTAGAGATGCTAATTTATCACTTGCTAACAAGATCTTTAAATTAGTAGTGAAATTTGAATCTATAAACTTATAGGTTATTAGCTAGATTCTTATTAATTGTGTCGGCTTTTATTGTTAATTTCATGTAGTTAGATTTTAGTTAGATTTTTTACGAGTGAATTTGACCCTTTCCCCTAAAAAAAACAAGTAAAAGTTATGTAATTGGCAACAGTGTATTTAAAATTTTGCAAGTTAATATTTTTGTTGTCACATGTTGCATTTACTCATATAATTCCAAGTTAACTTTTAAAAAAATTGACATGCAAAACAATTCTCCAATTAATAAACATGTGTTCAAATTTCAACAAGTCAATATTTGGTTGTCAGATGTCACATTCACACATTATTCATGTAAAGACTATTTTTGACATTTGATGAAACATTTTTTTGTTGAATGGAAAATGAAAACTTCTATTCAGGAATGAATAAATAAGAGAGTTTACAAGAACACCATACAAAGTATTTATCACTTGCCTTCTCCCATACAAAAATCGTCAATAAAATTATAATCTATTGCAATGAGATTAGAAACAAGTCCTGCAGCATCCTTAAATACAAATTTAAAGATGTTCCGATCATTACTTATGAGATAACCCAAATTAAGCAGAGGGTCGTGGAAAAGATGAGATGAATTGCATCCTCTAAGCATAAGATTAATTGCTTCCAGATTTCCACTCTATTAATGCCAGAGATGGCCAATGGAGTGCTATATAACTTCAAACAATCTGCACTGTCATCGTTAATGGTTATAGTTATGGTGGACGTAGGACCCTAATCAGTGGGGCATAAGATATAAAATAATAAAAATTAGAGAAAACATACATTTTGATCCTTGTACTTTGCTCGTATTTTGCTATAGATCTTTACACCTTTTTTCAATATTCTGAATCCTTACACTTTTATTTTTTGATGTTTTAGATCCTTAAATGAACAAAGTGAAGGGACATTGAATGGATGTAAAACACCAACAAATGAAAGTGTAGTGACTCAGAATACCAAAAAAAAGTACAACAATTTATAAGAAAATACTAACAAAGTGCAGGGATCAAAATGTATGTTTTTCTTAAAAATTAAGATTAAAATAATATAAATTTATACAATCAAAAATATAATAATATAAATTTAAATTTAATATATTAAGAGCTTAAAATATATTAAACTTAAATGAAATATCAAAATGCTTAATTTTTTTTAAACTTAAATATGTTTTAAGTTTATTGGGTTTAAAATTATAAGGGTTATGAGTGCATATTTTCAAAAGTTATAATGCATATACTTGCAAATTTTTTCGAGCTGAATGGCTGAATCCAACCTATTCCCGCCACTTTACACTACAGTAGCACATGCCAGTTAAGCATAGAAGCAATAGAGTTGTCCTTCTCGTTGACACTCGTAATAATCTCCTTGTGCAAGCTAGCTTTAATGCATTTTTGGATAGCCAAATTAATCAATTCTAAAGCCCAAAATTACAATATGAATTCAAAACTATATATTTCTTAAAAAGATCTAAATACTCATTATATAAGATGAATTTAATTATAAATTTAAAATTATAATTTTTTTAAAAATATTTAAACACTTCTATATATGCCAAAAGCTGAGTTGAAAAGTAAATAATAGTAATTTACAAGATAAATTTAGTTTTGAATACATAATTGATTTTGATATATATATAAAAGTGTTTGGATGATTTTTAAAAAAGAAAATCAAGATTTTGAATTCATAATTAATTTTGACATATATAACGAGTATTTGGATATTTTAAATAAAATATAATTTTAAATTTATAATTAATTTTAAGATGCAACTTAAATGTTTGGATATATTTTCATAAACCCATAATTGTACTTCTTTCGTTTAAAAATATAAGACATTTTTAATCGAATCTCACTCACAATAAAGTAGTTACTTACTTTTCAACTAACCCTATCTTTTTATATTTATCTTTATTAAACACTCTACAATAAATATAAAGTCATTATCAATAGGAAAACTTTTGAAAAAAGGTAATGATTACATCTCAAAAGAGTAAAAATACTTTACATTTTTTAACATTCAACTCTTTAAAAAATATTTTATATTTTTAAATGAAGAGAGTATATGATTTGCAATTTTACTTTTCAATTTCGATTAAAATCAATCTTATCAATCAATTTTTTAAATAAATTATATACTGTATAATACAATCAATTATATTAATTAATTTTTTTTATAATCACTTTTTTTTAAAGGAAAATCTAGGTGAATCCTTAATTAGCCAATCAATTTAGCTCTACTATCGTTAAAGCCAAACATAGACGAGCACCGAGTAGTCCTGAGATTTCAGCATGTGTAAGAAAATATGGCAGGATATCTCGTTACATATTTTCACTACACTCCAGAGAACTCACAGCCCAAAATATCATCGCCTTATTGCCATGGCTCCCATTGACATTCTTCGAAGGTGAGCAAGTAAAAATCACACCAGGATTTTAGACAAGTTAAAAAGATTGAGTGGGCACAGCGACGATGGGACAAGCGGTGGAATAATAAAGAATGAAATGGATAAGGGTGTCTTTGACTTTTCCATGCTAAAGTCGAAAAGGGCTTCGTCTGTAAGCAAAAGCTTTGGTATCAGCAATCTCGCAGGGGGTCTTGAGAGGTGAGAGAAACCTGTGGGTTTCAGGAGCCTGGGCGGCTGTAGGACTTGTGAATCCCTCGCTCCTCGAAGCCGTTTCTTCAAGCTTCGCCTCTCAATTTGCTCTTTTTCAGGTATTACTCTTTCCTCTTCTTGTTTTTTCCCCGCTTCCTTTCACCCCCTGATGAGAATACTTGTACCCTCTGAAACCTTCTCTCCTATTTGTTTACCCATGTTTTTTTTTTTTTTGCGATCTATAGTTTTAGAGGTTGTTGCTTGCTTCTCTTTTGCACGATCGCTTCACATATTGTGAAAAAATATATTGTATTTTGCTTGTTGCGATGAATGGATGTTTAGTTGTAATATGGATAACTTTTTTGCCCTGTAGGTTCTGATTCAGTCCATCGGTTGGAGGAAGTGACATGGCTTCAAAGCGCATCTTGAAGGAGCTTAAGGACTTGCAGAAAGATCCACCAACTTCATGCAGCGCAGGTTCCAACATTGTGACTTTTGCGTGATTATTTATTTTACACTTCCATTTGTTTACGCATCTTCTTTAGATGGGTTCTACATTCTAAGACGGCTGGTTTTTAGGTCTTTCTGATCACGCATTTCAACTAATTGTCCTCGATTTAGTGAACCTATAATGCTTAGACTTGTAGACTTGTACATAACACGCATTTGATTATATTTATTCTACTTAAATATGGAACTAATGGCATAAGATATTTGTGTTGTGAAGAATTATAGTCTGCAGTTTCAATTTCAGGTTGACATAATTTGCTTATTGGTTTGCAAATTCGAACTCTGCCATTTTGTGATTCAAATTATAGGGAAGGTATTTACTTTCTGTGTAATGAATAGTTCTTATGTGTCACTCACGTGTTTTTTTGTTCATGACATCCCTCAGTTGTCAGCACAGGGTGTATGTCTAGTTCTGGTTACCGGTAAAGATTGTTTTATATAAAAGATCAGCTTCTGATCTTCAGGTTTTCAGCTGTTCACTACTAGTTATAGCCTTACATTATATCACTTCCTAGCCTCAATATATGCATAGCTCGTTGCAAGATACTGTATTTGAAGATGATGGATATATCAGTGTAGGTCAATATTTATACTGCAGATTTGATTTTGGCTGCCTACAATTAGATCTTATACATGCTTTTACAATTAGGTTCTGCTTAAACTAAAAAGCTTGATTACATAGCGAATGTATTTGTACCGTTGGCATATCCCACCTCTTTTGTGGGTGCTAATCGTATCAGATCCCCAGTTTTAAAGTTAAATTGAATGTTATCGTGAAAGGCTGACATACTTGATATTGAGAGTAGAGGGAGATTCAAGATATTTTATCTGGATCAGGTTTTTTATGGTCTGCCAAATCAATGCTCATAGCTCATCTTTGGGAAACCCTAAATTCCCGGTATAAACCACTGAAGATGTTTGGTCAAAGATATTTGACAGATGGATTATTGAATTAAACTGCAGATTTGAATTTGTTCGAGTTTGCTATCTGTGTTGGGGGAATAAAGGAAGTTTAAACCTTAATCTGGTGAATTTTCTTTGCTAAGTAACTTAACTGGTGGCAGCAACTTCAAGAGTTGGTGTGCATTAGCCTCAGTTGAACTGGTTGTCTTCTCATTTTGATGTTAATCTTATTGATGACTGTTAAGTTTCTATTGGAGGTTGTAAAAATAAGGTGTGTCACTGCTTGAGATAATTATATGTAATCTGGCATGAAAGGGCTAAAACTTAGAGGAGACTCTACTCCTTGTCTGTCCAAAGTCCTTGCTAATGAAAATGAAATTGAAAATAATTCATGAAAAATTATGTTTCTTAGACAATACAGGTATTATATTGATGTTTTTTGCAGTTATGAGCATGTTCATGTTGAATTTCAAAGTCATTTTTCTCAATACTCTATTTGAAACAGGTCCAGTTGCTGAAGATATGTTTCATTGGCAAGCAACCATTATGGGCCCTACTGATAGCCCTTATGCTGGAGGTGTATTTCTAGTTACGATCCATTTTCCTCCAGATTATCCTTTCAAGCCCCCTAAGGTAAATTATAATTTGTTGGCATTATGACATCATGGCATAATGTCTGTGCAGCAGTGTATTCAATTTTTTAAATGTTCTTGAGATCTCATGACCTTACTCGACCAGGTTGCATTTAGGACTAAGGTCTTCCATCCGAATATTAATAGCAATGGTAGTATTTGTCTCGACATCCTGAAGGAACAATGGAGCCCTGCCCTTACTATCTCCAAGGTTTGCCTTTCCTTCCATTGAATATACTATCCTTGGATATGAAATATGTGATTTCACTGACGCCATAACATGTGTCATAAAAGAGTTTCAACAAGTTATCACTGTTACTTAATTATCTAAAGGCAGAAAAGTCATCAGTGTAATATTGCTAATCTCGCCCTGCTATATTTGTACAAGCATCCTTTGATGGCAAAACTGACAAATCTATGATACAAAGGGATTAAATTTGTGTTAGCAAAAAATACTTTTGCTTACCTTAGATTGTTAGGCCTCGTTTAGTCTGTGGAATGGCATAGAAAAAGGAATGGAAAGAAAAAAAGTAACTTTTTTAAGTTGAAATGTCATTTGTGGCTCAAGATAAAATTTAATAATAAAAAGAAATAATTGTTATTAAGTAATAATTTCAGGGACATACGATATTTCATATCTTGATTTTCATGCAATCGAAAATAAATCCTTTTTCTTAGTGCTAACCAAATAGGGCTTTAGGTTTCTATTATTAGCGTGGTGGGGTGGCTGGAGTGTGATAGGTGGGTATCCTACACTATCAAGTCTCTATCAGAGTGTATTGAAAATTCTCAGATTTCTTAGAAGGTCACCTTTTGGCTTTTGCTCTCCTTGAAATGACTTATTCATACTGCTTACCTTCTAAAAGTGACCTATAACTGGAGAAAACTTGAAAATTAATGGTTTGATATTGTCTAATTGTAGTTTTCCAGAAACCATAAGTGATTTTTAGCTGTCACCATGTATCTACTAGAGCAGCTTTGTTGGTTTGATTGCTGTGTGCGATATTTTTAGTAGAAACTGTTGCCATAATTTGGATTCTGGTTTGGCATGTTTACTTGATTGGGAAGTCTAGTCTGGATTCTTGAAGAATATTATTTACTCATCTGTTTATTAACAAACTGTTATATTAGCCCTTGTTTTGTTAAGTAATCTGCGACTTTTAGAACTTGTGCTCAATTGCTCACAGGACACAGGTTGACTTTCTCTTGTTGAGTTTGAACCTGTTTTGGATCAGTTTTTTTGATTTAACCATCAGTAATGTGATGATGTTGAGATTTCAGGTGCTGCTGTCGATCTGCTCACTGTTGACAGATCCAAATCCTGACGATCCTCTTGTGCCAGAGATTGCTCACATTTACAAAACTGACCGGACCAAGTACGAAGCCACTGCTCGCAGCTGGACTCAGAAGTATGCCATGGGCTGATTTGTAGTATTAAGAGCTTGTACATTGGATGGCATGTACGGAAAAACACTTGTGGGCTTGTGTTTTCGTCTTTTCCAGTTATCTGGGAGGACATGTTTCTTGTTTTAAGGTGGAGGGGATGATGGTGGTGTCTTGATCTTGACAAGAAACTTTTGTTTAACTTCTGTCATGCTATGTATGATACAATGGCTCGAACGGGATGTTATTTGTGTCATGCTTGTCTTGTCTTTCGTTGAATGAATCCATGTAGAAATAGTGATATGCTATTAAACCTTGTTGCTCATGGAATATCTCTAGTCTCTGATTATGGTTAACACTTTATGATTTTGAATGATTTCTCTAAACTAGATGAGAGTGATAATAAAATATTCTTTAGAAGCAAGGGTTTGTGCTGAAAATTCAACTAATGTGGTCTCCTAAGGTCTCAAATAATATGACTTGTAAACGATTGGATTTTACGCCCAGCGATGCATTTGAACGTCAAAAAGTAGGGAAAATTACAATCAAGTTTCAAATAAAAATTAATTATTTTTTAGTTCCTTTATAATTTAAACTTTTATATTTACATGTTAAATTTCAATATTTACAAGTGAATAGGATTGGCAAGTAATTAGTTTTTTTTTAATTTGGGGCCTATACGTAATTGTACCCCAAAATTAATATATTGACTTGATAGTTTCATAAAAAGTAATGATGTTCACGATGTGCAGCGTAGAATTGTATTAGCAATTACACAAGCGCATGAATTACTGTTTTTTTTTTATAATTCTCCATGCTATGTGCATAAATAGAAAGATTAATATGTAATTTAAATTTTAAATTATAGGTTCAAGAGTGATTTAAATCCTAAACTTTTAAAAAATATATTTTAAATTTTAAATAATTAAATTTGAGGTAATTTTACCTTCGCTATTAAATTGAAATCAATGTTTGTCAATTGTTTTAAAAAATGGCATCCAATGTGTGATTTTAATCAAATTTCATTGTCCTTCTCTCTCCTACATTCATTTGAGAGAAATCGCACATTACCCTCTAAATTTTAAAAAGTTGATGAACGTTTATTCAAATTTAATGGTGAGGGTGAAATTATTTCAACTTTAATTATTTAGGTTTTAGAATATATTTTTTAAAGGTTTAGGGTTCAAATTACATCTGAATCTATAGTTCAAGGTTTAAATCTCATATTAACTCTAAATAGAATTGTATAAGTTTTTATTTCAAAATCTAATAGCCATGCTAGCATTAAAACTAATTTTAAAATTACACAAAATCTAATCTCTCATAGCACTTGGTGATCTAAGGTTCGAATCTTTGTTAGGAGAGGTGTTTACATTTAATGCCTACCATACCATGAACAAGATTATTTTTAATAGGAGAATATTTATGAGCAATAAAAAATTTTTTCAATATAATATTAAAAAATTAATTTTGTTTTTTTTTTGGCCGAATAAAAAAATTAATTTCAATTGTCAAGATTAGTAATGTTTTAACTTTTTCGAAAATGTGAAAAAAGATGAGGATGGAAATAAAAAATTCAAAGCACTGAAATTCATTGCGCTTTACTAATTTTAACAAATTTTTAAAAATAAAATAAAATTTCTTTTTAAATTAAATGTTTTCTTATATATATATATATATTAAAGCAAACCCTTTTTCATTTCTTACATATTTTTTTATTAAAATTTGATAACCCTACTTGGCTTTTTTTTTTATTTGGAAAAAATCAAACTTGTTAAAATCTTTTCCCTTTCCTTCCATTTCCAACGAACCAAACATAAAATAAGATGCAAAGAAAGTGGTATATCAATTTGATTGCGCCAAAAGTTTATTTTATTTCTTGTACTTTTCTCTTTTTTTTTTTTTAATTGAGAACTATATTAATAGAATAGTCAATATTACTAACTTGAATTCAAGCCATTGTAGGCTCCAAACGGAAGAATTCTCCTAAATCTATGGTTTTTTTTTTGGTACATCAAAAGTTAAACAAGCTGTGTTTTAGATGTTTATATAAGCTTGAAAGAAACATTCCAAATATAGAATATTTTCAATTTTTTTTTGCCAAGTAGAATATTTTTAATTACTTTACGCAAGAGTGAATTCTTAACTTCTTTTTTAAATATGTTAGATACATTCCAAATCTAAATAAAAAAAAAGTAGCAGTATTATTATTTATTCATTAAAGATTATTATATTTGGTCACTGACAAAATTCTTGAATTGAAGCACCACAGAAAATCTGGAATTGAAGCAACTATGTGGTTGGTTCATTGGTATGAACATATTTGAGCACGAATTCCACATGATGCCATCGAATTTTGTCTTCTTCTTCTTTTTTTTTGGTAATTTTCTTGTTCTTCAATATAACATTGTCAACTGTCCTCCAAATTCCAAACTCGGCTTGTAATATGAAGAGAAGAGAAAAGAAGAGGAAGATAAATGAGAAATATATATCTTTAATCCTAATACTTTTGTTATTACATTGAGAGGTTTCTGTGCAAAAGGGATCACTTGCGCACACGCATTCATCAATATATCTATATATAAGAGTGAGTGATATTTTAAATTTAACTGAGTCGTTGTAAAAAGCTAATTGTAAAATTAGGGTAAAAATGTACATTTATTCTTCTAATTTATATATAAGATTTTAGTATAGTTCCTTAATTTTATAAAATATTTTTTCATACTTATAATACAACATTGGTCTCAAATGATAATTTTTTGTACTAATCATTTTTAAATTAAACTTAATATATCAATATTTAATAATATTTTGTTGATATTTAATAATTCAATATTGTCATCTTGTGTTAATAAAACCAATATTGCAAGGATTAAATAACCAAAAGTTGGCAAAAAAAATATTTCATAAAAATAAGGACCAAAAATGAAATTATATGCTAAATTAAAAAAAAAAAGTAAAGATTCACTCTTGCCGTAAGATTAGAATACATTTTAGAGGTAAAAAAAAAACTAAAAAAATATTTACAAGTTAAACAAGCTACAAGCTCATATTATTATGAGATGTGAGTCCTTAACTTTATCCATGAGATCTTTTTATTTGTTTAGTGGCTGAATTTTACCTTAAATAAACCCAAACTATTTTTTTTTAATAGAAAAAGCTTCGGTTAAACTGTGCAATTTCGAATTCATCACGAGTATAAAATTTTAACACCTTGGAGAAGGAACATTGAAATTCCTAATGTCGAAATTCATCATGATTGAGCAAGCTCGATAACACAGTGATTCTTTCTTTCTTTGTTTTTTTTTGGGCCAATGATAACACAGTGATTCACTTACCTAAAAACGTGATCAATGAAAAGCTTTCAAATTAAAATTTAGGGCTTATTTGTTTGAAATTAAAAAATAAATAATTTTTAGATAATTTAAAAATTTTATAAAAGAAATTATTTAGAATAGATTTTATAAAAAGTAAAAATTATTTTATATTTGATTACAATAATAAAAAAATATTATTAGTTAATTGTTTTAAAATTTTATATATAATATCATCCTTGATTTTTATTTTATAAAAATAATTTATTATTATATTATTTTAAAATTTTATGATATTTTTGTGTATCCCGCTTTTTAAAAATACTGCATCTTATCTCTGCATTAAGTTTTTTTCAAAAGCTACTTATAATAACTTCTTAAAATAATTAAAGATGTTCTTTTTTATATTTTGATTATTTTAAAAATTAAATAAATATCATAAAAACTCACAAAAAGAAGATAAGTAATTTTTTGTAAAATAAGCTGAAATAAATGGCCCTTAGGGTCCATTTATTTAAAAATTTAAAAATAAATAATTTTTATGTAGTTTAAAGATTTTATAAAAAATATTTTTTGTAGATATTTTATAAAAATATATTATTTTATATTTGGGTACAATAATAAAATTTAATTATTAATTAGCTATTTTTTAATTTTATAATATTTTTTATTTTTGTTTTTTAAAATAATGTATTATTTACTTATTTTAACATTTTATGATATATTTATATATCCCACATTTTTTAAATTTCTCTCTCATTTATTACATCAAATCATTTTTAATAGCTACTCAAAGTAGCTTATTAAAGTAATTAAAATTTATTTTTTAAATTCTAATTATTTTTAAAAATTTAAACAAATATCATAAAATTCATAAAATATATTTTTTAAAAAAAATAAGTAATATTTTTCATAAAGTAAGCTGAAGCCCTTAATGTAACTAGATGTTGAGCTATCCTATAAAAATGCATTGCTCATGCCTTTATTAATTTATACTACTATATACACACGCATATAATATTGAGTCAATTTATCATCAATGTTTAATCAATCTATCCATCTATAAAAGAAGGTTTTAGAAAGTTGTTCACAAATCATAAAAATTAATTACAGGTTCGAGATGATCTTGGACTTTTTACAAATATGCAAAACCATTTATTTAGTTTGAAATATATGGAAAGGAAAGGAAAAAAAAAAAAAAGGAACCTTCTCGGTTAACAGGGGGAAAAAACCTGAGAAAAGAACCATCTTGGAACTTGCCGCGCCAACCCGACCACATATGAACACAGGTTTCTCCGTCAACGTCTTGTTCTTAAGTCCCCACTTCACCACAATACTTTAATCACACCACCTCCCTCAAAGCTCTTCCCTTTTCCCAAAATGCCCCCCGATCCATGCCCCCCACCATGCAACCGCTCGAGGGCACTTTGGTCATCCATGTATTATCCGTCCGCCTCAGCTGCCAAGTCTCTTTATATGAGTGGTCTTCGTTCAAAGACTGAGGGCTTTCATGAAGTTCATGTTGTTCATATGAGATATCCAAACCAAAATTATTCTTATTATTATTATTTTTTTCTTTTTGGTCTCAGAAGCTATTAAAAGGAACTTGTCTTCCTTTTCTTCTTCTGCGAGCTATTATAGTTTCAGATTTTGCTGGTTCTGCCTCGAATCTTCTATTTAGGTTTTCGTTCTTTCTCTGCTTCGCGTTTAGCAATCACAATCAGATCCGTCGCAAATCATAGGTAATTCTTCATTGCCTTTTTCTACGTATCTATTTGTATCATTCTCTGTTTTCTTTCATGTTTCGTTTAATTGCTGCTCGAAATTGTTAGAAAGCATGCAAGTTTAGATTCCTGATATGGAATGGAAAGTTTTTTGTTATTGCGAATTCTTGTAATTTCTTTTGATAATTTTCTGACCCGATTGGCGAAGGGATGGATAGAATAGCTCATCAATTTAACATATCTTACCGTGCGATTTTGGGAACACTTTATGGTGAATTATATCTGAATGCGTTTTTCTATATCTCATTTGTCTTCTTTCAGTTGTTCGTTTTTCACTTTCTTTACTCTTCTAGTCTTCTATCATTTTTCAATACTTGAGGGCGCTGTTTCACTTGTCTTCTACTTGACAAGTGTTAGAAATTGCACGGATTTAGCTTTTCTAAGATTCCTGATTTGATGTGTTGTTATGGGGTCTTTTCTCTCTAATTTCCTCTTGTTCATGATTCCATGCATGTAAGGAAGTCATTTCTGAGTTCTGGTCCCGATTAAACGTACGTTTATTGGACCAAGTTAGAGACAGTAAGGTTTCTAATTAACACCTTGCAGTTTAAAAAGTTATTTCTAGTTTCCTTTGTTGTTGGTGTGATTTGCAAGGTGACTGTCAACTAAGTATTGCATGGGTTGAATAGTCGATCTGTAACATTTCTGTGGAAATGTGTTCTCTGAGATTGTTGGTTTTTCTGATTTCAGGATTCAGTTGTCATAGCAATTCTACGTTGAAGGTTATAAGTTTGTTCCTCTGAATCTTAATATGGGGCTTTGCCTCTGTAAGGTGAGCATATTAAAAATATCAATCAAAACCATTGCAAGTAGACTTAATAAAATTTGAAAGGTAATGGCTTTTGCACCTGTCTTTCGGTTGTGATGATGTTTTATCTCCAAAAAATTGCATATTCTTGCTGTGGAAGTCATTGATTTAGAAAGTGGCTGCAAATTCTGAGTGCTGGAGCAAAACTTAGTCTGTACTCAAGAATGAGTTTTCTTTGAATTGTGTGTATGTGCATTTCTCTTTGGCTGAAAGTTTGTAGTGTCAGCCTCAATCAGATGAAACTTTACATCTCCAGCCCACCTATGTAAACTTCGTTGTAAGTAGTCAGTAGCAGGTAGATTAGACAAGGATAATATAGAACAGATAAATTTTACAGGATGTCACGATTAGTTGTTGGTGAGAATGAACAATTATTAATTATCTTAGGCATTCTGATTTATACTGAAGTTTCTCAAATGGCACCCGTTGAAACTAAGAAAATGAGTTGCTAGTATGAAGTTTGTCACGATATATATCCTGCTCAAGTAGACAATATGACAGAGGCAAACAACATGCATATAGTGAGAGTGTTCAATATATTCAAACCATTCTTCAATGCAAATGAAACTTCCAAATTTGGTATGGTTTAGCCCAGGCTCTCCATGCTTCCACAGTAATTAATCATTGAGTAGATGTCAAATTGAACATGACTGGTAAAGTTGTGTTGATCCACGAGGATGAAATGCAAAGAATGAGAAATGGATCGAAGGGTAACATGGCGAATTAAAGGATGAGTTATTCTAGTAGCTTTTAGCATGTCTATTACAATAAAGAAAGTCATTAATATTTCATAAAGGGATGTTCTGATTCCTTGCTCAAACTGATCTGAGCCTACTTAGCTATGGACAGCAGTGGACCACGGATGGAACTTTTGATCTACTTGTACATTCCCCCTTCCTCAACCTGAAACTTCACATTATATGATGTTTCAGTGATTGCAGGAATCCTTCCGGACCAGTATGATTCAATAATATGCCAACTGTAGCTTAAAACTTTTGTCATCTGCCCATGTGGTATCCTCCTGAGTCCTGATCTTCTTTTTGTCCTCTCCAGTACTTGCTTCCTAGGAGAAGAAAAATGACAAATTTTTTATGTTTATGATAGTTCAGCATGATTGTGGAACCTTGATGCTTCTAAAATTCATTGTGCATCAGTCTGCTTATTTCATAACGTGTTGTTTTCTTCTGAATAAATTTAATGTTTTTAATGCTTGTAGTCTCGAGCTAAGGATGATGATTCTGATCATCGTGTGGAGTTGGCTTCTGGAAACGTACAACTTATTACCAGCAAAGAATCATGGGATCAAAAGGTTGAAGAAGCAACAAGGGATGGCAGAATTGTAAGTTTTCCATCGTAAAGATTTTGTCGACGCAGTAGGTCATTTGAAGGCCCGTTGCCATTTTTTTCTTGTGTTTTGGATGAACCTTACAATATCTTACCTTGCATTTCTATGTTTGATAACAGCCTTAGTAATCTTTGTCTATCATGCTTGACAATCCAATGTTACTGTACGAACTTTGATGGTCTAACTGCATTTGAGAGTACATATCAGCAAGATGCGCTTTATTTTTCTTTCCATATCATTCATGTTTTGTGATTCCAACTCAATCATATGCAGAAGCTATTGAACATGTTACTCTCTTATAGCTCGGTTATTTTTTTCATAATGAATATAACTAGATCTGATCATTGTATTTTCTTTGGAACTACCTGACCTACATAGCATGTGCCCTAGTTCAGAATCATGATACAACAAAAAGCTTAAAATGAAGTTTCAGGATATTAAAAGACTAAAGGTATAAAATGATCCTTTCAAAATTGGCATGTGATAATCCCCTAATTTATTATTGAGTTTGATAAAACCTCTTAAAATACAAGTTATGAACTCCACACACAATCACACTATTTTGCATGATGCACCATAGAGAAACTTTGTAAGTTTGGCCATCCTGCTCCCAGATTTTCAAGTATATTTTCCTTAGACTCGTTTTTGGTTCCTTAAAAAATCCTTCACCTCTTTCTTTAGATGCCATAATTAATTCTAAAACTGTATGCTCGACAGGTGATTGCAAATTTCAGTGCTGCATGGTGTGGTCCTTGTAAGGCTATTGCGCCGTATTACAGCGAGTTATCTGAGAAATACCCATCTTTGATGTTCTTGTTAATTGACGTGGATGAACTAGCTGTAAGTAGTGAAGCTCCAGATGTTATTATTCAATTTCATGATTTTCTAATTAGAATTTTTACGTGACATATTAATGGTTTAGTCCACAACTTCTTTTTCTTCTTTTTTAATCAAACGTCCACAACTTCAATATGAACATAAATTCTTCTAACATCAGCTAGGTGACGAAGATATCTTTTAGAAATTACTTTGAGAAAATTTCTGATGTGAGTGAAGACTTCTGATGTGAGTGAAGACGTGTAAGTCTCTGACATGGTTTTGTTTGTTGCAGGACTTCAGCACTTCATGGGACATCAAAGCCACTCCAACTTTCTTCTTTCTCAAAAATGGACAACAGATTGACAAACTTGTAGGAGCCAACAAACCAGAGCTGCAGAAGAAGATTAATGCCATTGTTGAACCAATTTCCAGTTCCCAGAGTCAATGGTGATGATTGCTGTTATCTTTAATAGGAAGAACTTATAGATTTTCTCCTTTTTTAATGACTGGCAGATTATCGGTAAACTTTCTTTTGTATTTTGCCGCTGATGTAAATATGACATTGCATTTGATGTTTTCCATGTAATTTGTGATCATTGTATTGTTTCCTTTTTGGGGCCTCCTGTACTCAGTGTATTACAATGTGTTTGTTTTTTGTGATAAGAAAAATTATCATCTTGCTGTCTCTCATAATGTGAAGTCATGAATTTGTATTTTCGCTTGTGATGGTGATATGAAGAAAGAGAGATAGAGAGATACAACTTTTTTTTTTTTTTTGCCTTTTAAGTCTCTCTTTGTACATGACATGAGCTGGTGGGACGATCTAAATTCCTGTAGTTGAGCTGGTGAGAGCTAGAGAAAGAGGAAGTCAAAGTTTTTGAATCAATAAAAGCATTCTTGAATAGTTGCTTCAGATGTTGAGATATATTGAAATGTCCATTTTAGCAAGTTTCTATTAATTCTCAGTCTCAGATTATATATTTGAAAAATTTATAAAGAACAAAATGGAGTGTAATGGAGGAAAAAATTAATATGATGGAATTATTTTATTTTCTCTTTCTTTGGAAGTTTACTATGGTTGTGGATGAAAATTTCCCTTTCTCCTCTCTTTCTTCTGGGGATTTTTTCTAAAAGTGGATGGGAAAGTATTGAAATAGTAGTCCCTTTTACATTGATATGTTGGATTGAGTTGTCGTTGTGAGAAAATTATCTTGAGAAGATACGTTAAACTAATTGAATTTTTAAGTCTATGCAAGATATACTCATGTATCTTACTTTTTAAGGAATGAGAATCTTATGTAAGTTCGAATCTGGGGATGGTACTTATATACTCAATTATTCGTAGTTTCTTATGCCCAAATTTGTTTAGTGTGTATAATTCAAAACAGATTCACGTATAAATGCCTACAATTGCTTGTGGCAAGTAACGAAGATGATGATGTGTTCAATTTTTGTAATTTGCAATGGATAATTGGTGCATAATGAGTGATCAGGAAGTTGGTGAAAAAAAGTGATTAGGAGAATAATTATTGCTGCTAACAAGTTAATTTTTAGATAAAGTAATAATGGACTCGTTTAATTGGTGAGTTTGTTCAATGAATGAAGCATTCAGTTTTAAAACATGCTCCCTTCCATTTTTATTAATGGACACCTTCTAATTTTTTTTTATCTTTAATAGAAGTCACATAAATAGTTGTGTGCATTACCACCTCTGTCTCAAATTATAGGATACTTTTAAAAAAAAAATTATCCTAAAATATAAAATACTTTGGGTAGATTAAGATTTTATTAAATGCATTAATTCTAATATTATCATTTCTTTTTTTATAATTAATTCTTGTCCATTCTCTTTTTAATATATTAAATGATGGCTATTTTTGAAAGTTTATATTTTTGTTTTTGAAAAGTAAGATTGTTAAGTATATTTAATAATTTTTATTGGTATGTAAGATTTTATTGAAGAGTATTTTAAAATTTGGGATGGAGGAATATTGCAAATTACTAAAAGAGGAATTTAATTCTAATTTAGTGTTTTTATATGGCTTCGTGTATACTGATTTCTCTCTCTTTAACAAGGGTAAATCTTAATGTTATTTTAAACTCTTAAGAGAAATTTAATGAATTAATTTCCCCTTCTTAATTCTAATGAGATCATTGAAAGTGACTTATAATAAGGATTGTATGTAGTAGTATTCTCTGGTCCAAAATGTAAGGCACTTTTAATCATTTCATAAAGATTAAGAAAAGTGGTTTGTATAATTAAAATGGTAAAAAAAAAAAAAAATTAATTTTAGATCCTAAATTTTTTCTCAATTTTGAATTAAATTCTTATATTTTTTTTGTTTTAATCATCTTTAAAGTTTGAGTGGTTAAATATGTTAATTCCCAACAAAAAATTCTTGAATTTTTTAAAAATTAAATTAAAAAATTTTATATTTTTATTATAAGATTATATAACTTTAGAATTAATTACATAATTTCTATAATTCAAAATTTATATAATCAAGTAATGTTTTCTAAATAACTTTTATATACTGTATATATATAATTTTAATAAAAAAATCAATAAAATTGTAAACTTTGTATTAAATTAAAATTTCTTTTTGTTTTTTGGATAAAAGTATTAAATCAATTTTTATATAATTTTTAAAATTATTTTTTTTGGAAAATTTAATCATTCATTAATAATTTTAACCTACTAATATATTTAATGGATCAAATTATATAAAGACTTAATTAAAATAAAAATAAATTGTAGTGATCTAATTCAAAACCGATGAAAACTAAAAGAACTTGTAGATTATTTTTTTCCCAAAAAATATCACTGCATTTCAATGTTATCATTCAATTAAAATCATTCTATTTTTTATTAAAAAACCGTTCTATTTTAATTACCTTTAATTTCTCTCTATAATACAATTAATAAGGGCATTGGGGGAAAAGAATTTAATTTAGTATTGACTTTTTACAAAATATCTTATATCTTAAATCAACATTAATAGAAAATGTTTTATATTTTGAACCGAGTGTCGGATTATATTTTTCTAAGCAATCATCAAAAAGTAAAAACATCATACCAACAAAAATTTGGTCTAATGAAAGTGATTAATCTTTCATAATATAGTAAGGGAGAATGATAATTAAGGACCATTTAAGAATATTAATCCTAATTACAGACCATAAAATTTTAAAATTTTAGTTAAGGATCATGGTCCTTAATTGTGATAAAAAAATATAATTTGTCAAGCGCAGTTTTCAGTGTTGCCACTTGAGAATTCACTAACTCAACTTGAGAAAATTTGTAACATATATTGTAAAAACATGAAACCTCACTTGAAAATTAATTATTTAACAAAAAACGCCACTTGAAAATTTACTAATTTGAAAAAATTTCTAATGTATATTGTGAAAACATGAAACTCCACTTGAAAATTAATTTTTTTAATAAAAAACACTAATTTGAACAAGTCACTTTTTATTAATGATTCTTAAGTAGGGTTTCATTTTTTCACAATATGCGTTAAAATTTTTTTTAAGTTTAGTTAGTGAATTCTCAAGTGGTGCTTTTTGTTAAACATTCCATTTCTAAGTGGGATTTCATATTTTCACAATATACGTTAGTAATTTTCTCAAGTTAGGTTAGTGAATTTTCAAGTCGCGTTAGTGAATCCCACCTCACAAATTATATTTTTTTTATTACAATTAAGGATCATGGTTCTTAACTGAGATTTTAAAATTTCATGATCCGTAATTGAGATTAATGTTCTTAGAAGATCCTTAATTGTCATTCTCCCATATAGTAAATTAATATTTAAATTTTTTTGCTAGGAGATGAGTACCCATTTAGTACTTGATCATATCTCGAATAGAATTGCTTTCAATAGAAGAATACATATAAATAATAAAAAAAAGTAAAAACATCATATATTTGTTAAAACTATCATAATTTTGAGAAAAATTAAACGCAAGGGAAATTATTTAGGAAAAGATAATTGAAAAAATGAATAGATTTTATATATCATAGAGAGAACAATAGTCAAGCTCTAAATTATCAATTTAGTAATAATCAAGTTCTTAATAATTTTTTTTAAAAAATAATTTACAAATATCAATCAAACAATTACAAAATAAAAATTTTATTTATAAATCGAGAATTCCATTTGAAACATGACCACCTGATTTGTAATCAACACTTCTAAATTTACAAAGGCTTAAATTTTTATTTTCAATTAGTTTTTGTTTAAAAAAATTATCAAGATCTAACTATTTACACTTTGACATTCTCCCTATATTATATTGATAGTAATTGATAGCGATTGATTCCAATAGATTGATAATTAATAATGATGATATTATTTTTGAAATTCTCAATGATGATGTTGACACACGAATACAGATAGAATATGAAAAAAATTGTTACACATCCATGGCAGCCAACATCACCTCTTAATCTCAATCTCAACTAGAGACAACTGGCATATATATATATATATATATATATATTTGTTTTTTATTTTTTAATTCCCTTAATTTAATGTGAAATGACATGTATTTTTCACATAAAAAATTTAAAAAAATTACATTATTGATATATAATATGTGAATATTATAATTTATTGTACATTTTTCTCTGCAAAAATCCACAGAAAATTCATCATCACTCGGGTTTCTTCAACTTCCCTGTACTGCCAAGGGATTTGGAGGGTTAACCATCTAAATTTGTTCAACAACATGATATTTTGATGCTTAATTAGTGAAATCTCTTTCTTACGTTCTCTGATTGTCATGCATATTTTGATAATTAGGTAAATTTAGGAGAGGCTTGTTTCTTGAAGTTGAACCACAAATATCACTGTAGGAACATGACACGCAACGATTCTATGACATTTCTCTCGTCATATATGGGAAAAAGGAAAGATTTAATTCTTTATTTAATTAATACTCCCTCTGTTTAAAAATGTAAGGCATTTTTAATTTTTTAAAATATAATCATTATTTTTTTTTCAAAAATGTCCTTATTGATAGTGATTTTATATTTATTGTAAGGTGTTTAATAGGGGTAAATATGAAAAGGTATAGTTAGTTGGAAAGTAGATAACTACTTTATTGAGAAGTGAGATTCGATTAAAAATATCTCATATTTTTTAATAGAGGGAGTAATCATTTTCCCATTAAGAAAAGAAAAAATGACAATTGGAGACTCCATAAGAATAATAATTATAATTACAAATACTGAATTATTACAATCTCAATAATAAACAATGACTCTCGCTCACAATAAAGTATATTTTGTCAATTGACTTGATATTTACAATTAATTTTTGTAAATTCTTAATTAACATTACAAAGATTCCAAAATATGTTTTTTGTTGATTTCCTACGCAATTTATTTATATATTGATGGTAAAAAAATCACAATTGATTGGCTTAAAATTTATAATTGTGTAAATTATAAATTTATATTATAAATAATTTTAAGTGTATTTTGTTGATTTCACAATTGACTATTTGCATTTTCAATTGCATACAAGGACTATAATTTATTATTAAAATCTCAAAATTTAAGGTTTGTATTTATAATTAATGTTTTTATGGTCCCTAATTGCAATGTTCCCTTATTAAAAATTATATACTTAGAAAGAGAAAGACTTAGCTATTTAACTTTATATATCTAATATATTTTTCTCTAATCAAATCAAAGCAAGTGGATCTTAAAATGTTAATAGTATTAATAAAAAAAACTTGTTATAGAATTAATTATACATAACATATTTAAACGTATTGATTTAATTAAAAACAATTATATAAACTATATAAAGTTAAATACATAATATTTTTCCTACTTAAAATATATATTTGTTTTTTATTGCGTGCAAAAATACTTTGATTAGAAATAATCATGTTTGAAACATAGTTAAATATTAAATACAAGCACGTTTTGAGAAATATTTAGATAAAGTTTGATTTGTATATTCATTTTATCTATTAAATACTCCCTTCATCCTTATTATATATAAGAGGTTTTTTAAAATCTTGTTTTGCTCCTAAATATTAGAGATTGTTAGTATATTTTTAATGATGGAACCATTACACCTTTAGTAAATTGAAAAGAGAAAAAGACAAGTACTCTTATTAATTTATTTTAAAAAAAGATATTCATTTTTTATTTACAATAATTAGGGACAAAATTAAAATATTATCCTGCTTTTAATTAAATAACTAACTTTTAATGGTTTGCTTGATTCGGTTAAAAATATCTTATATATAAGATGAAGGGAGTAGAATTTTAATAGTCAATACTCCTTCTAGTTCAAAATATAATGTCCATTTTCTCCATTTAAAAATATAAGGCATTTTTAATTGAATCTCACTCTCCAATAAAGTAGTTACCTATTTTTAAATTAACCTTATCTTTTCATATTTATCTCTATTAAATACTCTATAATAAGTATAAAGTCATTATCAATAGGGCACTTTTGAAAAAAAGATAATAAGTACACCTTGAAAGACTAAAAATACGTTACATTTTTTAACATTCAACTCCTCAAAAAATGCTTTATATTTTTGAACGGAGGGAGTATTCAAAGATTTAGTTTTGGTTCTAAGTATAAGGTCTCATTTTCTTTTCTTTTTTCATATATAATTTTTCTTTCCAATAATATCCCTATATAGTGGATGCATTTTCACTCAACATATTCAATTTTAATCATTAAATTATATGAATATTTAAAAAAACAATTATCTACGTATTAATTACAAATAATCAACATATCGTTTATAATTAAATGTGAGATGAAACATACTCATGATAATTTATTTTTACTTGAATCTCACGATAATTTATTAACAAAGTAGGTTTCAATAAATTTCATATAATATAAGGATTTATAAATGAGACGGCCGCTTATTGTAAATTTAAAACAAGGAGCTAAATTTTGTATTACATATTTTTGATTGAATAAGCGAAGAAATTAGAACCGTGACAAGAAATTAGAACCGTGACAAGCAAACATGTTAAATAAACAAAGCGAGTTTGATAAAGAGAGCTGTATTGTCTACATACATAAAATTTTAATGTTGTTTGGCATCCAGGTGTCCTCTATTGTTATACAGTTTTCATTGAATCTAATCATCAAGATGACAAATCCACTCTCACACGCGTTAGTGCCAGACTGCCCCTGCTTTTTTTAAAAAAAAAAAAAAATTGTTTGTCATTGTGTTGGTAAGACACTACGCAAAAAGTCAATAGAGTTGTATCTTTTTTTTTTTTTTAACAAATGTCCTTAGTAATTATAATGTAAAGACAGATTATACAGAAATAAATTAAAAATTTAAATTATATTGATTTGAATTGAAAGTAATCTTGTAAAGTGGTGTTAATTTTTTGGGATAATGACAATAAAATTGTTTTACTTATATAAATGACAACTTAGTCCTCCTAAAATATCATAATTTTAAATTCTTAAAAAAAATTTTATCATTAAAAATTAATATAAATAATTAAATTATCCTTAGTTTAGGATTTCAAATGTGGACTTATAAATTATTGTTGCATTCTCGCAATTTAAAAAAAAAAGTTATAAATTTAGAATAAAAATTTGAGTGTCAATTGATATTTACAACACTTGAAATATAAGATTTCAAATATAATTTGTAAATTGCTATTAAATTTTGTAATTTTTAGAAGAAAATTATGAATTTTAAAACAAATCTTGTGAATGATTATTAATATTTGAACTAAGAGCAATTTCATCATTTATATGAATTCTTTAATGATAGAAAAATTCTAAAAACTTCATTGGTATTATGACATTTTAAAAATAAATATCATTTATATAATTCAAAAAAATTTTATTGTCATTTTTTTTAATTTTTTACTATTTTAATAATATAAAATAATTTTAATTATTTTCTAAATCCTTATGAAGTACTCCTTTAATCTTTCAATCCTATATACAAGTGACTTTATAAAAAAAATATTTATATTTAATAAAGATAAGTTAAATTTTTTTATATTTTAAATAAGAACTATAATATTATAATCTCAAAAAATTTACAGAAAAATGGGAGCAGTTATTGCAAGATTAGAGTCAAAAGCCATAACTCCTAAAAGGCCACTCCACATGGTCACAGCTAAAGTGGGACCCACCCGCACCATCTATCCAGCGCAAATCATGCTAATGTGGGCATGTAGCGCGTGTCTTTCTGTGGTGCATTTTCTTGTTGTTTTAAATCGAATTGCTATAATTTTAAATTTTAAATTCTACGTAAAGCATCGGAGTTTTAACTCTAAGAATTTAATTAAAAATTATAGATGAAATTTAATTATTAATAAGTTTAAAAAAGTTTATAACTTTAATTTAATTTAAAAAAATTAAAGTGAAAATAATTTTAATGGTAAAAAAACCCGAACTACCTTTTATTAATTGTGTAGAATTATTAATTATTAATTTTTTACTTTATTTGTTAATTTACTAATATGATTGTAAATTACATAAATTTATATGTCAATAATTATACAAGATTTAATATTAATTGTTCAATCACAAACAACAATATTTATTATTAATTTACTAACTTTACTTGTTAATTTATTAATATTAGTTATAAAATATTGATAGGTATTGTCATTTACAGATGATATTAGTAAATTAATAATTAATGTTATTACTTGTCTGATAAATGGATGTAATTTACAGTTTATATTGTAAATTAACAAGTAAAATAAAAAAATTAACAATTAATGATTCTTCACGATAAATGAAGGTAGTTTGATTTTTTTATTGTTGAAAATATTTTTACTTTAATTTTTTTATACTGAACTGAAATTTTAAATTTTTTAAAATCCACTAATAATTAAATCCTATCATTGTTCCTCAATTGAAATTCTCCCTTTAACTTATTGCCTAATTATTATAAATTTTATTAGCGCAACCTAAATTGTTGAAAATCAATTTTCTTTTGGCATCAACTGTTCAACACAGCACACCCATAACCCTAGATTAAACCAGCAATGATTGTACTTTTTTCCAGCGGTAGTAAGAATTCAATGTTTTTAAACAAATTACTAAATTTTTTAAAAGAAAAGACTCGCTAAAACTTCTATTACTTCTCAATGTTATCATTTACCTCTCATAATTTTCAGCCGAAAAAATCCCTCAAGATTTTTCTATTTCAAGGAGGAATTATATTCCGGAGGATAAAAGCAGGGATAACCAATAAAAAAAAATATACAGTCACATCATTATTGCTTTAAAGAAATATTTATAAGGATAAATATGTGATTGCCCGCACATATTGAACAAAAGTTTCAAGGGACGGCAATGAAATGGTTAACCTGAACATGTTTCATCCTCATGTAATGTGGTCACAATTGCAACTTACAAGATCAAAACAAATCAGACAAGATATATAACATACATGAAATTAAATAAGAATGTTTAAAATTCAATTTTGATTCCATTCATCAACATCAACAGCTTCGAACTCGAGATACGTATGATGTAGCCCTCATGCTTGTGTTTAGCTTCTTGCATGATGACATTAACGTCCTTTTGGATTCATGATCTGTGAAAATACTGCGCTTGGTGTTAATCCATCAGAGTCTTCACTGGCCAGGCTCCGACCACCGATGCTCATACTCATCCCAGAGCTTCTGGAATCGGTTACATTGCCGTCGAAACCCGGTAATGCATCGTTCGGGTCCTTCCCTTTGGAGTTTACATACAGTGGCTCATCCTCATCAATGTGATGCATTCCTCCAATGCCCTTACCGCTCTCGTCCGCGCTCTCTTGCAGCTGCAAAGCAAACTCAAGGTTCCACAGCACATCCCCCATCGATGGCCTTTCGATGCCCTGATCAGCCACGCACTTCATTGCAGTCTCGGCAAACTTTTTGAAGCATTCTGGGGCTATCTTGCCTTTCAAGTAAGGATCAACGAGATGGTCGAGAATGCCCTTCTTGTAGCAATGAGCAGCCCACTCTGCCAAGCTCACTTGCTCTTTTGGAAGGGTTGGATTCAAAGCTGGACGAGCACACAAGATCTCGAAAAGAACCACCCCAAAGGAGTAAACATCAGATTTGTCAGTCAGCTGTTGCCTCCTGAAGTATTCTGGATCCAAGTACCCAAAACTACCCTTAACTACGGTGCTCACATGTGTGTTATCCAATGTTGGACCCGTTTTTGACAATCCAAAATCAGAAACCTTTGCTACCCACTTCTCATCCAGTAAAATGTTAGTAGTCTTCACATCTCTATGGATGATAGTGTGCTTGGCACCAGTGTGTAGATAGTGTAAACCTCGAGCAGCTCCAATGCATATCTCAAGCCTCTGCTTCCATGATAGTGGAGGTTTCTGGGTCTTGTACAGATGCTCCCGGAGAGTTCCATGAGCCATGTAGTCATAAACAAGGATCATTTCAGTGTTCTCTTCGCAGTAGCCAATCAGTGAAACAAGATGCCGGTGGCGAAGTTTAGAGAGCATTTCAATCTCAGTTTGGAACTCATGTACCCCCTGCTCAGAAAGAGGGTTCCCACGTTTGATTGCTACCTTGGTCGTTGCACCATCAATTTCTCCTTTGTAAACCTTACCAAATCCTCCCACACCAAGGAGCAAAGCCTCATCAAAGTTGTTTGTTGCAGCCTGAATTTCAGCAAATGAGAAATGCCGACAAAGGTTTGATGGGAGTGACGAAGCATAGCTTCCTGTGGTGTTCGTCTTGGCAGAACCAGCAGAGTGTGAGTTACCATAAAGAGAAAGAGGAAGCCAGCCAGATGGCCCTTCACTTGTACCGGAATCCTTCTTGCCATGCCTCCTACGACGTGAAGCAGAAAAGGCAATGAGTCCGATAACAATTAATAGAACTACTCCCCCACTAACACCTCCAGCAATTGCTCCTATTTGACTCTTTGATTGGCCTTTACTTGGGCTTCTAGCCAATGACGGATCAATAACATCTTGCTGTGGAGCAGGAATAGGATTCGGCCCAGCAAGATTACCAGTAGGATCATTTATTTTGAATATCTCCACTCCATTCAATATTGCATCTAAGTACTGAGGCTTTGACTGATCATCCGGATGTAGTGCAAGCCACAGATCCTGTTGAGGCTGCCCAGCAGGTACAAACACAACATAATCCTTATGCACTGGAACCCCATTATCATGTGGAAGAGCATATTGCTTTGCCCAAGCAATAACATCTGCTCCATCTTCAGCAGTTTGATTGCCGAGGAATACATCAAACACCCTTTGATTTATCTCGGTAATATTTGTAGAACCCTCACAAAAATGGAGTCTCACAAGATAAGAAAACCCAGAATCGACAGAGAAAATCCAAGTCAAATTGTAATTCATGTTGATATTGGCATTCGGCCCCATTGATCTAGCTGTAGAGTAGACATCAACAGGAGCAATATATGAGGGTGTTCCTGGGGGATACGTGATGTTAACCTCAGGATCAGCAGGCTCAGTGACTCCATAACCAGCACCATAAAGATACAAAGTATCACCCGACCATGACCTGAACAAACCAGTATCATGGGAAGGCGAGATGTCATTCCCACCAACATTCAGCCTATAAACAGTCTGAAGAGCAGTGCTATTATCAAAAGTGTAAGGAGTATTTGTACCCACAATCTCGGGACTATCACTTGAAGCACCATAAATATCAGGAGGCATAGACACAATCTCAATCCCATTAACAAAGGCATACGCATTAGAAGCATTGGGAGATGGAGTAAAAGTTACATTCAGCCTATCTCCTTCAACATTGACCAAATATTCATTCACAAGAGAGTCATAGTTCAAAGCTAATACCGTTTGAGCGACACTGAAGTTCCTAAGAAGCGTGTAGGATTGAGCAGCGACGGAGAAGAGCGCATTGGAGGCGTTGAGTCCGTCGTAAGAAGAAGGGTAGAAGTAGAGACGGATGAATTTCCGACCAGATGACACCGGAAAACTGTAGGTGAATTCCGACTGAAACACACGCGCCGTCATATACGGAACTTCCGGCACGGCGGGGTCTTGTGTTGCAGCATCAGCTTTTTTGGACTTTCCTGTAGAGGACAAGAACTTGGACCCAACATCAGAAGTCCATTTTCTTCCATCAGTATCGGTTGAATCTGGAGGACCCCCACAGCTCAAGAGGATTTTATCAGGCGGCACATAATCCGCAGCTCGAACAACTTGAAATGCTAAGAACAGAACCCATGGGAGAAACAAGTTGATGTTTCTCATGACCCAAAGCCTCCTAGTGTTGCCGATGATCAGAGAAATTCAACAAAATCTGAACTCGAAAGAGCCCACCAGATCGGGAAGTAATGGATATCAAACTCAAAACAAAAATCCACAGAGAAGTTAGCGGGAAGAAGAAGCTAACCCAGAATGATGAAGACAATTTAAGACTCTGCGGAAACAAGTAAGAGCAGAGAGATCTAAAAGCAAGCAGGATTGGAAGAAGATTTCTGAAACCAGAAAGGGAAAGAAAATGAAATAAAAGCTCATTCTGAAACACTCGCAAATCGTTACTTTAGTAATGCGCGTCTGGATCGTCCAAATAATATTTGAACGGTTCAGATCATTCTAGCCAATTAGCTGGCTGTTACAAGTTGCTTAGTATAAAATCAAAAAAGAAAAAAAGAAATCGATTGCCTTAATTAAAAGCTTGGGAAACAGATGTTGTGGAGCCTGAAATGACGATTACGACCTTGCGACGGTGGGATATTTGCTAGGGGGCCACTCGTGACAGATCAGAGATACGGTGAAAGGCGTGGTGGTCCCCACGCGTTTTCCTCAGTGTACTGCAGTCCACCATGTACATGAAGTGCCTCCCTGTCGAGTTTGGTGATTCCATTTATCAATTATTAATTGTGATTCTTCCCATACTGAACAAAAAATATTTAATATATCCGTTATGGTTGGGGAAAAAAAATTTGTTGCTAGTTTTTATATGATAATGAATATTGAGTGGTGACAAAATAATAAGAGCATAAAATAATTAAAATAGTAGAGATGAGAATGTTGAGATGAATATATAAATATACACATAAAGATAAATTTTGAAATGAACAAATACAAGAAAAAGTGGGTGTGGCTCCTATTAAAAAAAATAGTAAAAAATTATTTGAAGTGCTTTTGATATGTACAAAGAAAATCACGAGATGTTCCTGTAAGTAGAATGAAACAGATGACTTTGAGTCATGTCAAGAAAGATAAATGAAGATTGAAGATAATACTTTTAAAAGTTATTGAATGAGATTTTTTAATTAACAATATCCCTAAAAATTTAATAAATGATAGAATATAATGACATCATATAATCCATATAACTGATCCCATTTAGTGAGATAAGACTTGTTGTTGTTGTCGTTAGTTTCTTTAATTATTTTCTTATCATAAAAAATTAGGTAAATTAAATTTCAAAAGCTCAACCATAAATCCACCAAGGCCTTCAATTTTAACCTATACTCTTATAAAATAGAAGTCAAATATTATCTACTAATTTTTTTTTATAAAAGTGTTAACGCTAGTTGTTTTAATGGCAATGCTATCTCCTCCTCTTGAAAGGCTCCTGAATTCAAACTTAGTATTAACATGTACGTGTGCATGGGTACATATGTGCTAATTAGGGATGAAATTTAAAAAAATATGTACTATAGATATGTAGCAAAAAAAAAATCCATGAAAGTAGGATGTATCAAATTATTTGAAATTAAACAAATAAATTTATTTATTTAAAATACTCTAATATAATGTGTTGAAATGACATTATATATCAACTCAAAATTTCAAGATTCATATTTATAATTTTTTATTTTATATTATTTATTAAGTATAATTTTATTTAATATAAAATTTTATAAATCAATTTAAATCCACTCATATTCATCTCAACTTCTCATGGTCAGCCGTCAGTGTTAGGCTATTAATGGCCAAGGTAAATGGATTGATGAAGGAGTTAGGTGGACAGCTGTATGGACATGTGTACTCATATGAGTGAATGCCTTTTCTTTTAAAATGAGTCCATACAAAACCAAAATTGGAAAGAATTCTGCCTAGCAAAGTTTTCTGAAGTTGAATGCTTGAAAAAGCCATTGCCACTTGAGAAGCATCTCAATGGCAACTAGCATAGGTTGACATGTGCTATACTTAATTGGGATGAAATTAAAAGATAAAGAAAAGATTTTAATCGGGATGAAATTGGAAATATTTTTATAATGTTGGAAAGATCAAATTGTAGCATTTTTTTTTTTTTAGGGTAAAGGATCAAATTGTTGCCTCTAGCAAGTAATAATTATATTGTAGGTATGAATTTTTACACAAACTTTGAAATTAACTTTTTTTTTTTGAATTAATATGACAAGCATTAATAGCCTAATGTTACATGTGAGATCAAACACGCAACCTCCCATTTATACAAGAGTTTACATGTCATTAGGTTAAGAGATCATTACCTTATAATAAATTATATTATTCATAGCTTATAAATAATAAATTTTCATATAGATTTTATATTATATATATTTTTGATGATTTTCAAGAGGTCCTTATAGTATCAATAACAATACAAATCAAATTATAATTTCAAGAAGCATAAATGATAACTTGTTTTTATACGCTTTTTTCTTAATTTTGTTGCCATTAACATAATATAAGACTCTGGTGTGGGTTCAACTTTACATGAAATATAAAAGAAGTTACACTGTTTATGATTTATTAATAATAATGTAACTTCTTATTGTTTTTATATTATTCATAGATATTAATTCACGGCTATATGAATACAAAATATCGACCCAATACACACACTGAGACAAGCGCATGCTTGCTGGATGACAAGGCACATTGCGTCATCTTATTTTATTCATCATTTTTTCCATATTTATATCACAATAAATATTGTTATATTGTTATAACTTTTAGTTTAAAAAATAAATATGTCAGCATTCTGCAATTATTTGGTAAATTCACTTCCTAATTTCCCCAGCTTTATGACAGATTTCTTCACTTGTTCCTGCCAAAAAGAAGAACAAAGAGAGTCCAGATTCAAAAAGATAATTCTGTTCATGGGTTGACTCAGAAGACAGCCAAGCTAACTTGTGCATGTTTGAGACAATAACAGGTGGTATCTCATAACTAATATCACTCCATTCTTCCTGTTCAAGCTCATTCATTTTACCATTTGCAGTATATAGAGGAGCAGATTCCTCATTAGATTGAAAAATAAATAAATAAAGAATAATATAATTTTTAGTTCCTAAGCTTCCTTTCAATTATGAATTTAGTCCTTGAATTTTGATTTGGTATAACTCAGTCCTTATAGTTTATTAAGTTAAAAGAATTATAAGAATTGAATTGTATTGAATCATATAACTTGTTTTAATACAAAATTATATAACTAAAAGTTATATCTTCCTGAAGAAGAATTTAGCACTGGTAATTTCCATACCTTCACCAGGACAGTAAAAGCAAAAGAGTGCAAGCCAAGCGATTGAGGTCATGTCTCTGTAGGTGGAATCCATGATTCAGAGGGTAAACATGCTATGATCCAATTTTTCCCAGGACTCAGTCTGCAACAAAGCAACTTCCTTGTCTGGCTCATAATTTTCCTTTACGTTTTTATCAATACAGATGTTGATTGAAGAAGAACGAGTTTGTTGCAATGGGAATAACATCTTATTACAGGAATTCAACAAACTTAGCTTCTTTATCCATCCTAGATATGGACGTAATGTTAACTGAAGGATTTTGAAAGGTAAATATATTGTTGGATGCAGATTTCTTGTGTATAATGGATGATGCATAAATCTCAGGAATCTGTCTTCAAGTTCCAAAATAAGATACTACAAAGAAAACTTGGAATACCAATGAGCATATAACCTAACTAGTAAGGGGTTATATTAACTTAACCAATAGTTTCGAGCTCGAGTCTTGAATATGTAGCTATATTAAATTTTTGTTGGGAGAGCTTTGCTGCTAATGTATTCCTACCTGGCTCGACCAATGAATAATGGGTAATTGTATTAAAATAGAAAAAGAAAACTAGGGGACAACAATGGTGGTTCACATCAGCACTCTATTTATCTTATGCAATATTTGGTAGATTTTTTCGACAGGAAATAAAAGAGGCACCCATCTCATTTTTTTAACATTGCGTTTTTCATTTCCTTTTAAAAAGCACTTTTTCCCATACCAATCATTGCATTAAAGTTCATGTTGTAACAGTATGCTACTATTCCTCACATGGAAAAAAAAATAAACATTTGCATCACACAAGAGTTAAAATAGGCAAAATAAGGTTGCAAAAAGAGGTATCACCTCCAAGAACACAGGTCAAATGAATCTGTCATATAGAATTGAATATCATTTCTCTTGAATGTATAATCAGTTTCACCAAATAAGTGAAACAACAGACACCAGAATATGGCAGTAAATTGTAGCTTCACTTTGTTCTTTCTACCTTGTTTTAAGCCATACAAGTCAGAACCACAAATGTGCTGGCATTACAGGTGAAATCCCACCAAGCATTTGATATATAACTCGAAGAACCGACTGCCGTCAACTAAATTCGGTATAAGCCGCATTTCACAAGGGATTGGTATAAACTTCCAGGAAGATGCAAATCTTGGCCAGCAGCAATGGAAGTTATCTTCTGTGAAATGTAAACAAATTTTATTTCAAATCTTTCTTGAGCTCTAGCCCACAGTTTGCCTGCGAACTCGGAGAGGAAGAACCAAACGAAGTAAAGTCACAGGCTGTCCACATAGATGGTATCCTTTCATCCTTGTTTAACTAATTCTATGTGTAACAAAATTTTCATGCTCATATTGGAATTATTTACTCAGTTTCTCATCCTGCAAACAGGAAAGTAACTGCTGTACAGCTTCAGAAACAAGCAACTGACAGCAAAACCACAACACTTTTAGCTCAAGCTTAGCCAAATGAATTCAAATAAAATTAAACGGTGAAAAAAATTAGAGAAAGGCAACGAGTATAATACTCACATCATTAAGCATCTCACTTTCTGCTTAAGCTCAATTTTGAAAGGACTGCGGCAGCTTGATCACCAGCCAGAAGAAAATAAGGATGCCTCAAAGCATCTGCAGCAGATAAGCGTCCTCTTCTAAAGGGGCCTCTCTCACAAATAAGCTTTGTTGCTAAGTCCCACCCTCGACCTGAGTCACAGTCAAGAATTTGGAAGTCGGGCCTAAGGCGAGTAAATTCTCTCCATTTGATCAAATCATATTGACATGTTTTGATCTCCAAATTGAAGTTCTTCAAGGCAGCTGGAGACCTTAAAGATGGTATTGCCATTTGCAGGAGTACAATCCCAGCAGAGTACGTATCAAACAGATCAGGACTATTCAGCTGCAACATCAATCAAGTGATTCCACTTTCAGCAATCACTGGATGTCGAGGATATAATGCAAACAGATTTTAAAGTGTCTGCTGGAAGAAAATAACTCGATAAAGAGGAAATGGCAAATTCCATCACAATCTGAACAAGAATCTGATATGTAGAAAGTACAAATAAATCCTACCCTATACCTTATAGACATAATTAATTCGACAAAATGATTGACTGGTATTTTAATTTGATCCTTGAACAGCTTTTTTATTTTAACCTCATAGACAAGGTATAAGAATTAGAACCTGCCACAAGATTGGTGAAAGGAAAGCTGCAATTGGCTCTGGAGGAGGACTCGGTGTTTCTTCCGGGAGTACATATAATTCTGGGGGGCAGTAGTCAGGATCCAGCAAGGTAATGTTGGGTACATAATTCTTTCCAATTCGAAGGTCTGCTGCTGCACCAAAATCTATGAGTTTAATCTGCCCCCGTCTAGTGACTACCAAGTTGGCAGGCTTGACATCTCTGTGAACAATGCCTGTGTCGTGAATTTTCTTAAGACATGTGATAATCTGGCGCATTATTTGTTTGATGATCAATGCATTTCGTTTAGAAGGGTCTACACCTTGCAAGACACTTCCAAACATGACAGACTCTAAGTTTGAAGGAAAGTTACGACCTTTGATGTAATCAGCAAGAGTGCGGTCTCCCTGTGTCAGAGACAACCAGCAATTAGTTGCTAAAAATATAGATGGTAATGACATGTGTGTGCATTTCTAGCAAATTTGCTTGATGTACTTTATGCAATGAATGCAACGAGAACGAGGTATAGACCAGAGCACAGGATTAGCTATTTTATAAGATCACAATTAAGACCACCATAACAGGCTAAAACAAAACTTTTGGAGGTCAATCGGTGCATGGATGAATAATATATGGCTGTTGTTTATGTAATGAAAGAATCAGGTACAGCACCTCAAACTTCCAAACAAGCCATTTTCCACCTTTTATGAATTGTGAATTTGTTCTATCAGCTACAAAACTTCCCAGGAATTCAGCACAAGTTTCAGGAGCTGCTCTGGAAAGCCTGTAATTGAACCACTCCTCAAAGTCACCGAATTGTTCGGCCCCTACGATTCCAACCTTCACCTGCACATGCCATCCACCCAACGTTCGAACACATCTAACAGGTTTATCATTACTTAAAAATGAAGAGAATGGTTGAAAAGAGATTGCTTCCATGTCAGAGTGCACAGGTTTCTCATTAATTTTGGAGTTCAAGTGACTTGAATGCTGGTCTCATTCAGATTCCTAAAGCAAATAGAAAAATGGAAAAGGAGATAAACAAATGAACACACACACACACACACTGTGATTATTACCTATGGGAAAGAAAAAAATTGATCCAACGATGGCTTCATTGGACCAGGAAGCATGCAGCATGAGAGAAGTAAGGCTCTCTGCAAATGCATGTAATAATAATACCTTTTTGAGAATAACTTTATCCTTTGGTTTCACATTCAAATTTATTGCTGTCTTTCCTCTTCCCCTCTTCTGTACATTCTCTTCAACAAAACCATTCTTCGGAACCACGACACCAGAATAAACAACACCAAATGAACCTTCCCCAATCTTATCTCCAATCATAAAATCAGTCCTTCTGAGATTCCTTTTTCCCGTTAAATTGTCCAAGCCGAGCTGCAGAGGAGCCAGAAGGTAGGCATCAATGGCGCCTATAAGAACACCTGGCCTTGCAGTCAAATAAATCCATGTCAGTCCTGCAAAAACAAGGAAACACCACTTCTGGAAATCGGATAAATCTTCAGTTAATCTCTGAAATTGAACTATTCCTGATCGAAGAACAGGGAATTGATCGAGGTATATAGTGTTCTCCAACAAATCGTTGGCAATGTTGTCCAGAAAAGCTTTACACTTTACAGGGTTACTCTTGAAACGGTGTGTTAAGAAAGAAACATTATTGGGTGAAGTGGGTTTCGGAGAAGAGAAGGGGATTGTGGTTAGATTATGTTGGAGGGCATAAGCAGGAGGACGAAGCAAGGAAGCCATGAAAGGCGTCAAAAAGATGACTAATGCTCAGAGCTTGGGGTCCTTGTTTCAGGAGTAGCGTCAGCAGGAGGCTGTGGCAACTCTTATGCCACATGTTCCATTTATGCTTTATCCATGAGGAATACATTTTCTCGGGCCTAAAATTTTCACCCAACAGTTTTTTCTTACTTTTTTTCGGGCCAAATCATAAATATCTTGTTGTTTGGGCCAAAAGTGAATACCTCTTGTCATCGCTGACACAAACATGATTTAGAATTCTTTATTTTTAGTGTCTTATCAACATATAATATTAGTACTTCATAGATTAAAAAAACATAACTTTTGACCATATATTTTTTTTTTATTATAAATTTCTGTATTTTTTTTTATATTTTACATCCCTACACTTTATTCATTTAAAAATTTAAAAGACAAAAAAATAAAAATTTAAAAATTTAAAATACACACAAAAAGTATAAGGATCTATAATAAAATAAAACAAAGTGTATAGATCAAGAGTTATGTTTTTTCTTATAAATTTAAGAACATTTAAAGTTTTGAACCTGTATTTTTTTTTTTCCTATCATTTCTATCTATTTTGCATTTGCATGAACAAGATGGTTGGCATAATTAATTTTTTCATAAATTACCATTCATAGTCTTTTTTTTTATTCCGTTGCCCAACATCTTAAAAAATTAGAAGATACTCCTTCTATTAAAAAATGTAAGGTATTTTTAACCGAATTTTACTCTAATAACTTAGCTATTAGTCTTCAAACTAATTTATATTTTTATATTTATTCTATTTAATAGGATATTTCAACTTAAAATAAATATAAAGTGATTCATATAATAAGTGCATTTTTGAAAAAAAAATAATTACAATTTAAAAGACTAAAAATATTTTTTACTTTTTAATTTTTAACTTTTTAAAAAATACTTTATATTTTTTAATTGAATGAGTATTACTATCACCCGCTCAAACTAATCCAAGTGCCTATTGTGTAAAATCATTATTAGCAAAAGTGACCTCATGAGTATCTCAAAAATGCCAAGATATTTTTATATAACATTACTACATGACTCAGGCTTAAATTATTCTTTTTTATTTTGCCACACCCAGGATTCAAATTTAAAGCCACATAATAAACTAACTTCATGATATTATCATTTTTATTTTAATTAGTTTGTATTTTCTTAAAATTTAAATAATCTTCTAAAATACAGAAGGCAAAGCTTGTAACATGACAACACTAGGAAAATACATGAAGTGAAGAGCAATATTCCAATTATTTTTTTCATAACAATATTCTAATTAATTTTAACTTCACAAGTACAAGATTGGTGCCGAGAAAAACTGCTTCAGCGAAATCATCCAACTCAGGTGGGTAGAGATGAGATTTCACCTTATTAAGACACAATGAGATGCCGAAGATTATAGTATTTATCCATACCACAATAAATTACTAGCAAGCCGCTCAATGTAATAAATTGACGAGCTGCAGATCTCACACAACACACAAGGGAACAAGAAATGAAGAAAATGTTCGTAGCGGTACCATAATACAACTGTTTTCATGCAGCTAAATAAATAAAACTGAGTATTGCAGAAAAGTCGTGCATCCTGTGCCGCCAATTAAAGCTTAGCAAGCAGGGCCATTCCTTTGGAGGAAAGAAGCTGCAGGTCTCACATAACTAAAGTCTTTGAAAGGATTGCCACCATTTGGACTGGCAGCCGGCGAGTCGATGATGGGCATGTCAGTCCAGCGCTTCTCAAAGTTGGCAACACAATGCTTTCCAGCAACTTCAGGGCGAAAGCTTGGCTGGATCTCACGTGAATCCAACTTCCTCCAATTGATTGGTTTGAACCACTTGTGATCTTTAATTTCCAAGCTACCCCTTGTTCCACTGCCTAAACGCTTTGTCGCATCCTTCTGCAGCAGCTGTAACAGGGACAGACATATTTATTTAACTTCTATAAACACGCAATGTAACAGTACAACAACAAGAAGAAACCACAGCCATATCACACTTTTAGAGGTCAGCTATATGGATTGCACAATGCCATTATGCTATGCCATCAACTAAGTCTTTTAAAAATATTATTAACTAAGAGATCTCATTTAACAACTTCCATAGATGTTCTTTTTAGTTTTCGTCTACCTTTTTTTTACAGGGATCAAGATAAAATAAAGGTTTTTATATCTTTCTAGCAAAAGTTAGGTCAAATTATTCTCTAGAAAATGAAAATTTTGAGCCTCATGGCAGCGACGGGTAGGTGAACATTCAAACATCCAATCATTGAGAAGTGGAATGCTTATCGCAGTCCCTATGCTAATTATGACATCAAAACATGGAAATCTTGAACATTTCATTTGTCATGTTCAAAGAACTGATGAATGGATCTCTAAATGCACAAGAAACTGACGCGTCAACTTACCAAACATCATATGGAAATGAAGGAATTGTTTCGCAATAACACCAAAAAAGTATCATGCCTAAACGCGCCACAGTTCCATACTCTTCTATTTAAACCACACAAGAGAATTTTACAATTAGCATGTCAAATAATTGTTTATCAATTCACATGATAAGCCATGGAAAGATAATTCTTATTTCATGCTATGATTTTTATTTAAAAATAATGAGTTCTTGGTGAACTAATTATTACCATTTTCAACAGTGAATGTGCTTCACTGGACAAAAACGCTGGCAGCTTGATCTTGTCTTTAATTATTTTCTGCTGAATTTTCTCACGGTTTCCACCACAGAAGGGAGGCTGCAGAGAAGAAGACCAAACAACGAAAAAAATCATTTGCTATTCCAAACCAAAAGCACATATCATTAGTTACTCAATCCCCAAAAACACAAAAGTTCATTACAAGAACGTAGGAATATGTTCGCGGATAAAAAAAAAATAGTACAATATTTAAATAGGTAAAAACACTAAAAAGCAAATAGGATTTGGTGCCACATTGTTGTTTGTAAGAATTCCAGACGAGATATAAATTCTCAAACAACTTCAAAGATTTAAATGAACAACTGCAATTATACAAAAATCAGGATACGAACCTTTCCAGTAAGCATTTCATAAAGTAGGATTCCAACACTCCACCAATCAGCAGCCTTATCATGGCCCTTGCCAAGAATAATTTCAGGTGCCATGTACTCTATTGTTCCACACAAGGAATTAGATCTTGTATTACTTTCAAATTGCTTGGCCAGGCCAAAATCAGTCAGCATAACCTAGTTGATCAATACAAAAACCTCCAGATTATTTAAAGTCTAAAGCAGAGCCAAAAGTCGTACACGTATGAAGTATGAAGGGGAGTATACATGACCATCAGCATCCAGCAGGATATTTTCAGGTTTTAGATCCCTGTGCATTATTCCGTTTGCATGGAGATGGGAAACTGCAGAAACAATCTCAGCAGCATATATGCGTGCTAGATCCTCTCTGAAAGTTGAAGGCAAGAATAAAACCACAAAGTCAAGTATTTATCCTCCTCTCTATGCAATTTTTTTTAAAAGAGAAAAAAAAAGAAAAAGAAAGGCCAAAACCAAAAGTACCTGAAAAGGCCTTGATGATAAAGCTGAAAGAAGAGATGACCACCGTTCACAAAATCCAGCACAAGATACAATCTGTATTTTGTCTGGACAAAATAAAAATAACATCAATTTGGTCTATGATCTTCAAGGGAAAGTACTTCACTAACATCAAACATAGAGTAATTAAAAAGTACGTGAAAATAAGATACAGATATTATATAATATAAGCAAAAGGTTGAATTGTAAGAAGCTAAGCCAATGGATAAAAATTATTACAACAACAATGATAAACAAAACTGCGTCTGCAAACCCTAGTATTACTATTTTGAGAATAAGTACCTGAAAAGAGTATCTGAGTTGAACAATAAAGGGGTGCTCTATTTTGGTTAAAATATCCCTCTCAGCTTTCATGTATTCAGCATGGTTATTTTCCATAATTTTATCCTTTCTCATTACCTTCATTGCAAATATTTCACAAGTAACCTTTTTCCTCACTTGATACACTTTTGCAAATGCTCCCTGTCCCACAACCTTCAAAATCTCAAAATCTTCAAAGCTCACTCTCTGGATCTTCATGGGATGTTCATTATCACCTTCAAGAGACTCCTCAACGATGACGTTGTTGCCATTAGATTCATCAACTTCTACAATGGTCTCTCCAGCAACATGCTCCACTGCTTTTAATGAATCCTCAGTTTCATGTAAAGTGAGTTTGCCAAGCTTAAGTGATAGGCTAACACAAGTAGAAGGACCAACCAATGAATGTGAGCGGGTATAAATTACAGCTGGATCATCGTAAACGAGTTCACTTGATTCTTCCACATGCTCAACAATAGCAGAATCAGCATCATTCACTTCTATAGAAGGCACTGTAACTGGACCAAAGACATCAGAGAAATCAAGCTCAACTTGATCTGTAATTGCACTGTCAGTGAGGCTTGCAGGAAAGAGTATTTGGTTCTGGAATGGTTTGCAAACACTGGTCTTAGACAAATTAGAAAACTGAGAGGAAACCATTTTGCCAATTAACACAGGGATCCAAATATGCTGACGGCCAAGCTAATTAACAGCGTAAATTAATCGCCACTAAATTCCCCCAACTGCTGATGGACTCCTGTCAATTGCCTGAATGAGAAGAAAGTTGAAGCGTGCAAATGGAGTTCCCAAATACTTTGGCAGTAAGGAAAGCAAAATCCAGTAGAAGAGGCTGTTCTTGTTTCCCGATGCACAGGAAACGAAGTAAGGTCCAGTAGTTGTTGAACTCATGAAGATCCAATTAGCAATCTGCATGCCATCCCAGGAAAGAAAAAACATGAGAAGACAACACATGCACGGCCAAAATTGAGTTGGACAGTTTTTTTTTTTTTTTTTTATTCCTGTTAGGCAATTCTGGAGGTAAAATGCTCAAGATAAACTAATCACGACATCACTGCTGAATCCATAACTCGAGCTGATGATAGAATGAAATAACAAGTCAAACTGGGCCAAGAAGGTATAAATGATATAAGGGGGGAAATAAACGGAATTGCGATAACATGTAGCTGGCCTCGCTCAGTTTTAAATTCTGTTAGGAAAGAGTGGGACCTCTACCAACTTGACTTGGAATCAGTTAGAGGAGGGATACTCCTCGAAAAGGAAGGGGGAATGTACTGGTATTCAGACAGGATGACTCGTGTGCTTGAGCTCGTAGATGCTTGGATCATCTTATCTCATCTTATCTTTCAGGCACAATTGTTACTGAAACCAGTACAATGAAATCTGAACCTGTTTCTGATGCCAGTTTGGAACGGAGGAAATCTGAAACCGGTCCTTTTTTTTAAGTGAATTAGTTAACAAGTCTCAAAAACTGAATGGCCAATACATCCCCCCTCCCTTTTCTCTTTCTCTCCCTCCGCTAACTAACCCCCAGAGGGCCATTAGAGGTAAGCTACAAATGATCTCAATTCCCTTTTTATCCCCACTAATAATACCCCTCTTACACGTATTAATGAGCACTTAGCATAACTCCATTAAAAAAAGAAATTCCAAAGAATGAGAATTCAAGTTCATCAAAACATATTAACAAGAGATATATAAGCAGTATCATCTATTTGAAATAAATCAAAGAAATCGAGATCCGCAAGAAAGGTCCAAATTTTTTATCTGGATCCAATGGCCCAGAACTCAATCAAAGTTCCGAGAGAACACAAAATTCATCAGCAAAAATTATGTTCAGCAAGAAAACAAAAAATTTGATTCAGTTAAGATATAATTAATGCCAGCAATTCAACAGTTAACTCAACCCACACAATATCAAACCGTTAAATTTCAAAGTAGGAAGCTCCAGCGTGCGCGTCAAGGGTTTGCTCAAAAAGTTGAAATCTGGGAAAGAAAAAAGAAATTGCAACGGAAAACGAGATTGAAAGAGAGAGAAGCGAGGAAGGAGTACCTGAGAAGGTTGCGGAGAAGAGCGAAAAGGAATGCGATGGCGTCTTTTCACGAAATGCTGTGCCAAGGAACTCGAGCCGCCACTTATAGATCGTTGAAAACTGATGGTTTTCGTTATTTGTTCTTTTTCTTCTTTTGCCCCCTGAACAAATTGTTTGTGCTATTTCAGTTCCCAACACGTGGCGTCAAACTATTGGGTGATTGCAAAAGTGGGTAGAATGTGCTATTTCGCTTTGGTTTCCAAATCCTTTTGCCTTTTGGATTTCGTTTCCCACGATTTTACCATTAAACATGAGAGCATCTAGTTCTTATCTTAAATCCCACCTAATTTTAAAATTTTAAGTCATATCTTTTTGTTCTAATCAGAATTTTAAGTCATGTCTTAATAAATCTTATTTTATAAAACATTATAGCCACCACTATCCAAAGAATATCCTGAATAATATAATAAATATTATAGAAAAGTGACTCTTGCACCAATAAATTAGCTCAACCCAGTTCATGGAGTCCCCCTTCCTTCTCAATCATGTTGAGACGAACTGAGTCCAGCCTAAAAAAATTTAGGACAAGACGCAATTAGATTGGGACAAAAGTAGTTTCAAGACAAGATAAAACATAGGTGAACACCAAGATGTCCCGTTTCTAATTTTTTTAATGTTTTACTACTTGTGATTTATGATTGTCTTTTTTTTTTTCCCTTTGTTTCGGACTTAAAAAAGTTTTATAATTTGATGATTATTATATTGGATTTAAGTTATAGTAAAATTTCCAATCCTGTCTTGTTCCAATCCCAAATGAGATTGGTCTGTCTCTAGGATGAGATAAGACATAAGACAGGATTACTTCGATAGTTTTGCACATACTTGCTCAAAGTATTTATCATATAAAGGATAATGCTTTATTTTTATGACTCTCCCATTAGATGTAGGAATTTTTCACAGGGAGAATATCAATAAAGCACTCTTAAAAACATTATTATCTGATAAAAATTTCTAACAAGTAAACATTAATAAATTAATACTAAAGTTATTGTTTTAGGTTTAATAAGTACTTGATTTGTCTGGGATCGTTATTAGATATTAAATTCTTTTAACAATTTTTTGTTAATATTTTCTCAAAATTGCCCAACGTACTTCTAATAGCTTGAACATTCATTTAACCACATTTCTATCTTGAGCATGTGACTTATTAAATGCTAGTATTTCTTTATGATTGTGTATTCCCTAAAACACCTTTATTACTATATCCACTTGCTAGTAAGTAACATTGTCATGTTTGATGAAATAAATACAAAATTAATGTTTTATCATGATAAATTTGTCAATACGGAGGTGATTTTAGTGATCTTAAATCAGATGGAATTTGAGGATCTTTCTCCTACTAATGGCAGCATGCAATACGCTAGCATCAAAAGATGAACCCCTACCAAGTCCCCCACTTGAAAAAATAATTTTACTTCCACCCCAACTCTTTCTTATACACTGGCTAGAGACTGGAGATTAGAGAGAGTAATGCTCCTTAAAATTTTTAATTATTTTTTAGTAAAATATAAAGGTTTTATATTTTTGACTTGTTAAATTAGTACATTATAGAAGTTTTGAAATACTAAATGAAATTTTTATTTTAATTATATATGCAGTCTTTTATATAATGCAAATGTTTTAGTAGTTTGGAGATGTAATTATCATATAATCTACTTATTTTCAATAAGATAATCTCACACATGCTTTTAGAGTATTAATATTATTGAATTTTACCTTTATTTTATATTTGATCCAAGAAATTATTTGAATTATTACTAACAAACTTTGTTAAGAATTGTAACAAAAATTTGTAATTGATATAAAGATTTTTATGATAATTGAGCATCATTACCATATTGATATATTTATTTACCATAATTATCAATTTAAAAAATTAAATAGTAAATTCAGTAAGCAAGTAATATGGCTTCTTAGATTGAATGAAACTTTAGATCTCAACAATGCATTTAAATTATTCAATGCTCATAGGAAAAATAAAATTTCACCAATTTAATGATAATTTATATTAAGAAGAAAATTATTAAAAATTTTATCATGGACATGATAACTAATAATTTTTATAACACAAAAAATTGATAAGAAAAACTTAAAAAAAAGTATATATTTATTTTTGTTATATATTTGTCAAATTAAATATAAAAATATACATTGAATTTTTTTATGTTATGTCAATAATATATACTCCCTTCGTTTAAAGATGTAAAATATTTTTAACCAAATCTCATCCTCAATAAAGTAGTTATCTACTTTCAAACTAATTCTATCTTTTTATATTTATTCTTATTAAATATTCTATAATAAATATAGAGTCACTATCAATAGGGGTACTTTTAAAAAAAGATAATAATTATATCTTAAAATACTAAAAATATTTTATATTTTTTAATATTCAATTTTTAAAAAAATATTTTATATTTTTAGATAGAGGGAATATAAATTTAACTTTTCTTCTATTACTGTATACGTTTTGTTATCTCGACGCCTTTAATAAAATTTTTAATTCTATCCGAATTTGTAAAAAAGAGAAACACATACATTTTGGCCGAGGGTCTCTTTCAAAAGGAAAAGGTACAACTAGCTTTTAACGCTCCCGAGTCCAAAATATAATATAAGTTTTTTTTTGGAAAAAAAGAAATTGTTTTCACTTTTTTTAAAATAGGTGAGTTGTTCCAAGACTAACCATATGTATGCTTCCAAATTATATTTTTTTTTATCGAAATACTTACCAACTGGATACCAACTGTCTAGATGCTCACATCTGCAATTGAATTCTTTTGGGTTAGTCATGATATTCTTATAGTTGACAATTGTGAAATTAATCTCTTAAACAATTTAAACATCATTTAAAAAATTATTCTTTTTAAGTTATACTTTTTTATATATATGTCCAAAAATTAAACTTTAAAACGATGCACATGAGTAGTTGAATTTAATCTCATCACTTTATAAATTACGCATACCCTCGGACATCGAACTCGAGAATGATGCAACATGAGCAGTTGAATTTAATCTCATCACTTTATGAATTATATAAATCAAATCCTTATTGCTTGGGCTAAGCTTAGACCATAATTGTTTTTACTTTCTCTCCACACCGGAAATAAGAATACTTGGCCCAAACATAAAAAGAATCCGAGAATAACTTCGCTACCCAATTCCCGATCTCGTGCTTCTCGTCAAGCCATCAATCCATTGGCGTGCAAATCCATTAAGCGCTCTAGATCATACAAATTTTGTTTCGGACGCAACAAGAAGCCATGTTTCTCCCCTAGTCAAAACCTCCAAAGCTTCCAAGATTATGTGCGATTTTCTTGCTTCAAATTCTCTCGCCATCTCAGTGGTCGAACCTCGAAGATTAGCTTTTCTTAATTTAAGACCAAGAAACGAACTTAAACCCAGATTCCATGCGCCCTTCTGTGTTAGTTTATTCAATGCTGGTAATTTAGACCCTGCAAATGATAACAATGGCGAGGCACAGTTCCTTAAGAGTGCTTCAGTGGCGTACGGACTCTCTCGCGTGCTGGGGTCGAGGAATTATCGCTTCTTTAATGAACTTGAATTTGAGGATAAAGGGGAAAAGCTTTTCGGGTCAGAGAGAAATCGGGTCGATGCGGACGCAGTAAATTTCCAAATACCCGGGTCCTCCGCCAGAGCCCCAGCTAATAATCTGGGTTTCAGGGATGATACGACAGCTTCATCGGGATCAGATGATTTTGTTGAACTGAATTCTGGTTCAAATGACGATGAGCGAAGAAGAAAGGAAGAGAATAGTTCAGGGCAGGAGGATTTGGTTCCAATTCAGAGTGATACCGATGGTGTTGATTTAGAAAAAGACGAGCAATTTGAGAGATTTAGCGGCAAACTTGGAATTAGAAAAGCTAAACAGGTGATCAGAAGGTCGAATTTGTTGGCAAAACAAGTCATCAGCATTCGCTCTGCTATTAGCTTGGGATTCGTCTCGCAGCTTTGGGTGGACACGCATCTGTGAGTGTTTAATTTATCATCTGAGTTATTTAGCACTCGGCTTTTGTCATTTCAGCCCCAATAAATTTCTTTGTAAGCAAGTCTTTTGGCATCTCACGGATAAATTCGCATGTTACTGAAATATATATGTATATAAATTCATGGGACTGAATCATTGGTTGTAAATTTCATTTCTTCAGTGGGTGGTATTGTTTGTAGAGGTGAGGCCAAACTTGCTTTCCGGGGAGTCAGAAAGGTTTCTTCTGGAGGATATTAGCCAGGTATACAAAATTTAAAATCCAGATTCCTTTCCTTCTTGGGAACTGGTACCGCTGAGTTGAATTTGCATATGCTTATTTAAACATTTTTTTTCCTCTTGCATTTACTCTTTAATCTTACTTTTTGTTAGTCCTTCCTTCTGCCTGCATTAATATGAAGATATAATCGCTCAGGTTAGATTATAGGCTTACTATGAAGATTATGGTGATGCTTCCAACGCTATATTTCTGAGAATGCCAAACTGTGGCTGATAATTTCTGCTTGTCAGTTCTGATGCAACATTTGAAGCAGAGTTTTGCTTTGCGGTCTTATTTAATTTCTGATACAGAGTATTGGTTTTACTTGATGCTTTTGCTACAAGTGACTTCTTGATTAAAAAATTGTGGTGTTCCTTTTTTTTTTTCTTTCTCAGGTTGGGGACGTTGTCCTTGTCCAAGATGAAAGTGTTATAGAGAATGAATTTCGAATGGTTGGACTGGAGACCCTGGTATGTTTTACTGTTTAACAAGACTCGGAGATATGACCTGTTCATTTATATGAGATCTATAGGCGCTCATTGCATTGGCAGGGCACACTGATTAAAAAGTCTGCTTTTGTGACATGTAGTACTTGAACTCTGACTTTTGGCTCTAACGTCGCTGATAATGTATGTTTCCTGTTCAAATCTGATCCTTTCCTTGAAACTTGAGTAATAGAGATAGTTGAAAGTAGACGATATGTGCGCCACTTTGGTTTGGACTTTGTTGTTTTGTTCTTGTTTTAGACTATGATGATTTTTGCAAATATTTTATCACCTTAGGGGGAAATATTTTCATTAGTTAAGCCATCAGGGGTTAGTACTAGTGAATTTCTTCCTGCAGTGCGTAAATTGTACTAAGCTATGGATGTATTACCATGAGATCTTACGTTGTCTATGAATGGATTTGATGAGGAAGTCCTTCAAACAGATCTCTGGTTCCAAGGCTCTAAGAAATGATTTGCAAGGTTAAGGACAATACAATTATTTCCGTATCCTTTTTTCCCCAACAGCTGAAAAATAAATTTAACCATTTTGAATTTTTACAAATATGCACACCAAAAATTATGTATGAAAATGTTCAATATGGCTTGCCGTTCATTTTTCTAATTTTAGATTATAACAGAGCTATTGAGAAACTGTTACAATTTTCATGCATGTTCCAGATACATTATGCATCTGAGTTGCCAGCTAGGGTAGCTGGTTTTAGGATATTGGTGTAGAGGGGAGTCCTCGAGTCATTGAGCTAACAAGTGGAACTTAACGTGGTGGCTTTTACCAAGTAAGCTGGGTATCAGCTAAAGAATATGATAAAGACAGGAGAAAGTACTCACTGCCCTGAATCTATGTCTATATATCTATAAAATCTCATATTAGCTGCATTATTCATAAGCAATGAATAATTCTATTTCTGTTTACAATTTACTATTCACAAGTCACGTGAATATTGCAGCTTGCATTGAATTCTGTTTATATCTTTATTCCGTTTTCATTATTTCTATCTCTTACCTCTGCTTTTATACTATTTGATTTTCCATTTTGAAATTTTCACTTAAAATTGTGTTGAAATCAATATATTTTCATTCAAAGTATTTCTATCAAAATTTATCAGATGCATTGCACGAAGGAAAATAATCTAGTTATGTGTCAAAGAGATGGAATTAGAAAAACATAAGAATGTTAATGAAGAAACAAAGGAGTTGCAAAAACAAAGATAGTTACCTTTTGGTTAATAGCTAAGTGATTAAGTCTTATGGGAATAGGAAATTTAAACAGAGAAAAACTTTGTCATAAGTATTTGGGCTGTATGCTTTTTGGACTCTTTGGAACTATACTTCCTAATGTTGGATGTGGCAGACAATTATGTATTTCTTAGCAGATAATATCTTATTTCTGTTGAGATGAATTTTCAATTTTGACTGCATGAATTTGCTATTTGAATTGGGATTCTAGCTGTGATTGATTGTATGATAGAATTATGGAATGTTCTTTCTGTTGAAAAATTCTGGCTTTCTACTTTATGGAGTTGTAATTTTGGAGAATCTTGTTGCTTCTAGCTCCATTTTATTGAATCCATCATCACAGAAACGAATTCACATTCTTTCTTTCTTTTGGGATTTTGTGGTGTTTATATTTGACTTTCTTACCTCTCCTCTTAAAATGATATACTTACAACTGTCATTCTTATTTCTCTTCAATTGATGTAACTAGTTTGAGGTACTGGCTCAAGCATTTGCTCATGTAGCCTTTTTTTATTTCTATCTTTTAGGTAGGATACAAAGTTGTAACACCCTCTCAACAGAACATTGGAAAGGTGATCGTGTGTTTCTCTCACAGTTGCATCATATTTATTTAGGAATTTTATTTATATTTATTTATTATATTTTGGAAATGTTAATTGGCTTAGGTGCGAGGGTACACTTTCAACATAAATTCTGGGGCTGTTGAAGAACTTGAGCTTGATTCATTTGGACTCTCCATCATCCCATCAAGTTTGGTAAGTGGGCTGTCTTTTATCGAGGTTAACGAAACTAGCATAGATTGCAGTCGCTTTTGATCTTGTAGTAGTAGTTCATCTTCTGTTACCAAATGCAAGAACAATGTTGAGAATTTTATTATATTCAGTTTTTAAGGTTTAATTTTCAAATTTAGAGCATTTGCGTTTTATATTTTAGGTGACTACATACTCTTTGATGGTTGAGGACGTACTGGAAGTTGTATCTGATGCAGTTGTTGTACATGAAGCTGCAGCTTCACGCATACACAGACTTTCAAAGGTATCTCAGGAGCTGAGATTTTAGGTGCCAGGTTTGCTTGGTCATGTATTTGTGTATTTTAGCTGTTGAGTTTCTGGTAGAGACCTGCAAGAATCTTCACCAAAAGGACACTGAAATGAAATAACAACGCATAGTGAACAAGTGAGAATCTCTTTTTATGTTAAAGGACAGCAATACTGAATCAATCTTTACAACTTAAATACTGATTCTAACCAAACCCTGTTCACTAGTATATACCAAATTGAGCATCGGAGTCACAAAGATACCAAAAAAAAAAAAAAAACAACACATTCCTTGCAACAATAAGGGCAGTGGTTCTGGCTTTCAATAGGCAGGCTAGCGGCCTGTTTGGTTGTGTATTTAAATTTTTGTTTTTAAAAACTGTTTTGCAATTTAGTTTTTAAAATTGTTTTTCAAAACATAACCAAAAAAAATCTGTTTAATTGTGTTAATTTAAAAACAATTTTAAAATTAAAAAATCAGCCAATAATGATAGTCATCGGTGGTCAACGATGGTGGCTTATAATAGTGATTGAAGTTTTCAATAATCAAGTGCAATATATTTTAAAAACAAGAAAAATAAAATGAAAACAAATTTAAAATGTTTCTATTTTTTGTTTTTAAAAACAAAAAATGAGAAGAGTTTTGGAAACAATTAAATTTAAAACACTTATACAAGAAAATTTTTTAATTTTTTTGTTTTTAAAAACAGAAACCAGATAGGCTCTAGATCTCTCCTCACCACTCTCGTTCTTACAAAACAGATCATGCTTCCTTCTCCTACAGGAATGGGGGTTTTATACACCAAAAAGTTAACTTCAACTTTTCTCAAACACTGTCCATATTTCATGAAAGCACCTAAACTCTACTTGTCTTTCACATTTTTCCCTCCACGGTTATGAACCTTAAGACAAGCTTCTTGGCCTGTAGTATTTACCCATTCAACTTCATGTACCTTCCAGGAACGTCTGCTATAGGTCTTTGTAAAATCTGCAGCTCTATCAGTTTCCTGGTAGTAGGTTTCTGCTCGCTTCCCAACCTAAGATTATACGTCACCTCGTTCTGGTTTATGCATGGAAACACATGAACTGAGATGGTTTTGACTTTTGATCTTTATTTTGATTTGATTTGGATGAGACTTGGGTGAATTATGAGGTTCCTCAATAAAAGAATAAGATGTGATTTTTTTTTTTTGGAAATAGTTAATCATGTGTTACTGGACCGTAAAAAAATATAACGTCTTGTTTTTATTAGAGAACCTAACAGCAAACGTACAAAAAAAAAAAATTATACATAAAAATTATCCTTTTCATTTTCCTTGCCTTTTGCATGCCTTATTACTTGCATCAGCTCATTTTTCCAAAGAAACCCTTGTATTTGCACAAAATCTGAGAAAAACTGCACTGTTTATGACTTATAATATGACTCTCTGTAACTTGTATTCTATGCTGATTGGTATTGGACTTTATCTTCTCTCGAAATCACTGGAATATGCATAATAGGATGGTATGAAAATAAAAATGGAATAAAGTAACTCTGTAGATAAAAAATCACCATGTCTCTGAGTTTAAAAAACAAAAAAGAGATAAATAGTGATGACAGACGGGATGCACATTATAAATCTTGTATTATATGCGTTGAATCAGTTTTCAATGTTGTAACCAAACATCTCCTTATTCTGTTGGTAACAAAACTAACTATTTGCTCACACCAGGGTTTATTAGGCAACCAGAATATGGGGGCTTCGGTGGATGATGTTGAAGAATATTCAGACTCTGAAAGATCTTCAACTTCTGGTTATGCTTCAAGGTCAAGGAGAAGTTTAAGGAGAAAGAAAGCCAATCCCAGAGATTGGGATGTTGAGGAAGATTTGGAGCTTCCTATGGATTACCTCTGACCTTGATTCAATGATTTTCTGGGATTTCTCAAGGAAACACGTCTCTATATAAACGAAGGTCAAAAATATTTATAACTAAGCCAAGCAAGTGTACTGGCTTCCGTTTATACACTTGGTCCTATAGAATTTATTTTTGCCTCACAGCTTTTGTATGTTAACCAGTGTGGGTCTTTATTTCATGAAGTCTAAGAAATGAATTACATCGTGAATAATAAATTTTGTAAAACTGTAGAACTTTAGGTATAAGTGAAGGTTACGTAATTGTCCTTGGTCTGATAAGATTTGTTCTATAGATGTTATTTTTACAGCTGTTTTATAATTTGATTCTTTGACTCACTTACTTGTTTATAGATGCTTTAAGTTTGAGATTATTTTTTTTTTTATTGGCCTGAAGTTTGAGATAATTCAATGAAACAAAATTACAAAAGCAGTGTGCAGTTACAATGCAAATGTCAGTATCATGACCTCTTGGTCAATGAAGTGTGCATCCAAGGCATTAAATTATCTTGAAATAATTTGATGATATTTAGTTGCTCTATCACGGAAACATGTATATTATTTGGAGAATACAATAGTTAAGTTTCAAAATATTTAATTAATAACAATTAGATTTTTGACATTTTTTTTAATGAGTTGCAAATGTTGACGATTTATAAACATGAGTATAAGTTGCAAATTATAAACAATTAGATGTTTTTAATTCATTTTTTTCAGAAAATTTTATTAAGGATATAACTATCGTTAATTTGATATTTTGGTATCCAACTGTCATTTTTTCTATTTTTGTGCAACTTGTTACAGATTTTATATTAAATAAATAATATTAAACAAATTGAAGATTGGTTGTTTTTTAATAGCTAATGAGCAGAATAATGATGCGATTATGAAACAATAAGAATCAAAATAATATAATTTGATTTTGGCAAACAAGAAAATGGGGAAACAAAGAGTTTGAACCTTATTTTATGTAAAATAATTTGTGAAATGCGACAACAGACATGAGGGATTCATGGTACGTGTGATTGCGTGGGACGAGTACACAAGCATGAATATTCCATTATTGTAAGGAGCAGCAGGATTTGCCAGCCTATGCCTATCTATTTGTGAAATTTTTCTTCTTTAAAAATGGCAATTTTAATAATCCACCGGTAGTTGGGTTTCATTTTCAAGAGAGAACCACTGCGAAATATTCAATTTTGATTTCGAAATACGTATTTTTTGTTAATATTTGTCGAGATTTTATATTTTTTTTACCGATTTCCGAAGATTTTTGTTTTCTTGGTGTATTATAATTATAACTATAAATTTATTTCTTATACAATTATTTGTATTATTCATTTCATAAATTCTCTCTTCCTTTCAATCAAAACCATGTTGGATCATTAATTTCATACACACCGTGTGCTTCAAGCCTTCAACATCCTCACATGCACGACGGAGCTTAGTTTTATTCTAGGTAAAAAGCATACTTGTATTTGGTTAATACTACATATTGTGTTGGAGTAAAACACAAGAATGATCCCCAGCTTTTTCTCGATTTTCTATTTGGTTCCCCTTTCATAAATTTCCAACCCTATCCCTACTTCCATGAAAACAAACTGTGTCTGTGAAGATCTCAACGTGAAGGGGACTTTGACAGAATCACCTCTAAAGACTTTTAAAATGAGCAATTGACAATAAAATCTCATAAAATGAGAGTAATTATATTGCAGTTTCTACGAACTTCACATCAACTATTCTTACTCCTCCTCTTTTTATATGGTTATCTGACTAGCTTAAAGCTTAAATGAGAGTAAATCTTTTAAAAATATTTTTTACATTTATACAAACTCAAACTTGAGATATTGTATTTAAACAATCATAACCCGTTTTTTTTTTTAAACTTTCTTGCTCCTTCTATCCACGGGTAGATTTATCAATTCAAACATCTCTATCACACTTTAAATGCTTGAACTAAGTGCTTAATGTGCAAAATTGTAAATATGGGTTCCTTTTCTTTTCTTTTAATCTTTTTTACTTTTGTAATTGCTATCCTTGAACTCTTATTGATCCTATTTTTAAATCTAATAATTTTTCTTGTAGAAAAGAAATAATCTAGTTATAGTTTTTGGAAAAAATTTACCTCTTGCCAAATTTGATGGGCATAATAGAATAACTTTGTACAAACCAAATCCACATGCTTATAGTAAGAAGTAATTGTTGAACCAAAGTTTCTTCCTGATAAAGTGGTTGGCTAAATTTTTCTCTAATAACTACAGTGTAATTATTTCATTTCATAGATTCTATTGTCAATAATCTATTTAAATGCCTTTTGTGAAAAAGGGATTAAATATACACTCTCAGTCACACCCAACCCCAAGTTTTCCTAACCCTTCCAAGAAATGGAGTGGTTATTGAGCCAAGCCATTGCAGCATGTTACAGTATTAGAAGGTGTTGGGTGAATCAGAAATTGACACGTGCCAGCATGAGCACCAGAAGTTCAAAAGCCATCCGGCTCGTCCTCGTTCACTTGTTTGAACCTCGTCCCTATCCTTCTACTTGTACAGTGTACACCTGCTTTAAAGGGGCTATTTGTTTGGCAGAGATCTACAAAGTCAGATAACTTCCCAGTCACGAGAGTGAGGCAATACTGCCTCGTGTTTTTCGTACGTTTGTTTTCTCCCTATACATAAGATACCCCATTATATTTTTAAATTCTTAAATAATTTTACCTTTGTTGTCTTTAAAAAAACAAAAAAAATATTACCTATCACTATAATATTTAATTGAGATATTATTATGGACAAAGCTGAAAAATTGTTATGGTTTGAAATTTGATTAAAAACATTTTGTATATAGAGATGAGGAAGTATTAATATTTATACTCATAAAAAAAAAGATTGATTTTAGTCATATTTACAAAATACTTCATTGCTTTTTAGATTTATTTTTACCTTATGTTCTTATTAAATGTTAGAAAAAATATTAAAAATAATTTTTTATCCTTATTAGGGGGTAGAGGTGGGAACTTATTAAAATTTAAGTCATAATTAATAAAGTTTTAAATTTTTTTTATTCTGATAAAACATGTTAAAAATGACTTATATATAAAATTATAAAGAGCAAATAAGGATGATTATTAGTCTAGTAGAAAAAATTTGATTTAGTCATTAATTTTGTCTAAAAGTTAAATAAATTTTTATTTTTATCCCATTTAAATAAAAAAATTTAAATTTGCATTATATTCTTTCCATGATTAATAAATTTAAACAGTAATAATATTTAAAAAATATAATTAATACTCTATCAAATATTATATATTAAAGACTATAAGATCGTTTTAAAAAGTATCATATAATATGAGTAAGATGGAGTATACGTCAATACAATGCGACATGGTTCCTCATTAAGAGTCATTGAAGTGTAATGTAATATTAATTATCAAGTGGCTGGTTTTAGCATGTCTTGGTAGTCATATAACCATGTATGTTATCAAACGACTCTTAATATTTACACAATATTCCTCTTATTTTTTTTATAAATTATTTCTATTAATCACATTAATATGAATACAAAAAAAAGTATATGAAATAAAAGTATATAAAATTTTAAATATATTTTTATATAATAAATTCAAAAAATGACGTCATGTTATGTTTTTTCTCATAAAATATAATTTTAAAAATATTTTTTAAATATTATTTAAAAAATTACACTATAATTTATAAAAAGATTCAAACAAATCTTTTAAAATATGTTTTATAAATAGAATTGGAAAAAATATAATCTTATCACCATTGCTAATAAGGTGTGATTGAATTGAATTAAAGGGGCTATTAAATATTTACGGAATACAATCTTTTTTTTCCCTCAATGACGACAACTTATTCATGCAAAGTGCAAACTATATTGAATTTTGATCAATTTAAATTAGAAAAACTAAATTACACGCACGTAGAGAAATTTTTGAATGGACAAGATCCATCACGTCATCCGTGATTAGACTATGGATGACATGATGGATCCGTTCTATTTAAAAAATTGCTTCTTCTCCGTAACACTTTCATCGATGATGGAATTTTTTATATCCAATCTTCAAACGTAAAACTTCATTTTAAGAAAATAAGTACCAAATTGTTTCAAGTAGGTGAAGATGTTGGTAGTTTTTTTGCGTAAAATAATTACATATATTGATTTTAGTTGAAATATAAAAACACGGGCAGTATCAATCATCATTGATTTTAATGGAAGGTATTCTGCTCGCTTAAACATGTGATCTTATATTTAAATTCATGCGAATACATAAAATATACTTTTTATAATATAAGATATTTTTAATCAAATTTCACCCTTCAATAAAGTAATAATTATTTTTAAACTAACTATGTATTTTTATATTTACTTCTATTTAATAGAGTATTTTCAAGAGTGGAGGGGGCACCAATAGGGGCCACAACCCCACTGATTTTTTTAATTTTTTTAGTAAAATGTAGAGGTTATATATTTTTTACTCTCATAAGTTTACACATTATAAAATTTATAAAACATTAGATGAAATTCTCATTTTAATTTTATATGTAGTCTTTTATATATATATATATATAGAGAGAGAGAGAGTAACTATTTCAATAACTTGAAGATATAGTTGTCATAAAATTTATTTATTTTTAACAAGATAATGCTATAAATGCTCGTAAAGTATTGATGTCATTTTATTTTGCTTACAATTTATATTTAATGAAAGAAATTGTAAGAATTATTATTAACAACTTTTGTTAAGTATTGCAATAAAAATCTCAAGATATATTAAATGTCATGTACTTGATACCTACAATAAAATAACTTATTCAAAAGTTAAGAGGTTTGGTGATGTTCTTCTAAAAAAAATTATTTTTATTTAAATAATCAAGCTATTAAAATTTATGATATAAATAATTTTTATTTTGATATAATTTGATCTTATTGACATAAAAATTTTATGAGAATTGAGAATTATTAATATGTTGATATATTTATTTACTATAATTATCAATTGAAAAAAAATTAGATAATAAATTTAATAAAGTAAATAATATAGCTTATTATATTAAATAGAACTTCATATTCCAATAATGTATTGAAACCATTTAATGCTCCTATGGATGATAAAATTTTTACTAATTTAATGATAATTCATATTGAGAAGGAAATTGCTAAAGCATTTATCGTAAACATAATAACTAATTATTTTTATACCATAAAAAATCAATGAGCAAAACTTAATACACACACACATGTTTAAAATTAAATATAAATATATATGTTAAAATATTTATATTATGTCAATGATATATATATATATATATGTATAACTTTT